TTTATCTTATATGTAAAAATGAATCGCAAAATGTGTTTTGGTAAGCGCATAACTCAACAACGCCTGGACCAATTTGGCAATTTTCTAAAATGTTGAAGTCCAAAGATGGTTCTTACGGCGAGACAAAATCGAATAATTGCCGGAAAACCCTTAAAACAGCCTTTTTCTTTTTCACATACAAACGTTTTCTAAATAAAACGTGGAATCAATTTGAGCTTTAATTTGTTTATAACGCGTAAATAAATAAGGTGAATTAGAAAATTTATAAAGGTAAACTGGTGGACAGGTAAATTGGAGGATATGTAAAATGGTAGAGAGAAGAACTGGTAGATAGACGGATATGTAGATAAATAAACAGGTTGACAGCTTAATTGGTAGATATTTAGAACAGGATGTGAGATAAATTTGTAGGCCGGTAAAATGGTAGATTGATAAACAGGTTGATAGGTAAATTGGTAGACAGGTAAATTGATAGACAGGTGAATTGGTAGACAAGTAAATTAGTGAAAAGGTAATTTGTTGGATAGCTGGTGGTCAGGTAAATTGGAGAATATGTAAAATGGTAGACAGGGCATCTGGTAGGCAGACAAATAACAAGACAGATAAACAGGTTGACAGTTAAATTGGTAGACATGTGAGACCGCTTGATAGGTAAATAGGTTGACAAGTAAATTCGTAAGTCGGTAAAATGGTAGATTGATTAACAAGTTTATAGGTAAATTCGTAGACAAATTATTGAACAGATAGTAGTAACGTTAAACTAAATGTAACAAATACACATCTTTGTTGAACTTTTTAATTTAAACTAAATCACGGCAAAGCGTGAACGGGTACAGCTAGTTTTGATATGTGCAAATTTTTTGTATGAAAAAACTATATTAATAGTATAAGGGTCTTCAAGCATCTTTCAGATTAATGAAAAACAAACTTATATTATAATTAAGAATCAATTAAAAAAATATCAAAATGCCGTTCATAAATTCAAAAGTGCTGTTTGACCGTATGTTTAGAGGGAAGCCGTTATAATATGTGTATATAATAAATCAAATAAATATATAATAATTAAAATAAATGTTGTAAATAAGTATTACTTACAGATAGTATGTTTTATCAAATTACTAGAGCCACCTTACTTGAAAAACACTAACACGAAAACTAAATGCAACGTGACAGATCCAACGATTGACAATCGCAACGTAGCACAGTTTGAAACATTTCAAAACTACTTAGACATCGTATGATATTGTTCTGTACTGGTTATTATTTTTGAGTAATAAATGTAGTTTTATAAATACTAAAAATGTTGTACAATTTTTGATAATGAAAAGTTTTCCAATATAAGTTTTTGAAATATTTTTTCTATATATTTATAATTTTTATTCTAACCATCTGTCAAGTGCCAACAAATCAAAAATGGCGGATCAATGTCCAGAAAAGAAGGAAATTGAGCAGATATTTAATAGATTGCGTGCGATTTCTGCGAATAAAGTATGTTTCGACTGCAACGCCAAAAATCCTACGTGGGCATCAGTAACATATGGCGTATTCATTTGCATCGACTGTTCAGCTGTTCACAGGAGCCTGGGGGTCCATTTAACTTTTGTTAGGTCTACACAGCTCGACACTAACTGGACCTGGCTTCAAATGAGACATATGCAAATGGGGGGCAATGCAAATGCTTCTCAATTTTTCCGCCAACATAACTGCAATACGAATGATTCACAGCAGAAATATAATTCTCGGGTGGCCTCGATGTATAGAGATAAATTGAGAAACTTAGCACAACAAGCAATGAATTTGTATGGTACACAAACTTTTATTGATTCAAACAATGAAACGGCACCTGTCGAATCCAAAGAACCTGACTTTTTTGATGGAATTACAGATGATTTCAATTCTAATTTACCTGAAACATTACAAGTAATAAAAAATGATGTGTCATTAAAACAGAATTCTAATTTAAATGAAACACCAGCTGAACGGAAACCAACTATTGGTGTGAGGAAAGTTCAGCCTAAGAAAACTGGCTTGGGGGCCAAGAAAGGACTTGGTGCTACAAAAGTATCTACAGATTTGGCAGAAATTGAAAAAGAGCTATTTATTGCAACAAGAAGAACTGAGCACGCAGAATCGTTTAAAAAAAGTGCTGAGCAAGTAAAAAGGAGGACGATGAAGAAGCAATGATAGTATGAGACTAGCTTATAAAGATTTATCTTTACAGCAAGCTCTAAAGAGGAAGAGCGCTTAAAACAGTTGATCCTAAAAAGGCCAAACAAGTAGAAAGGCTAGGAATGGGAGTTTCAAAAGCAAGATCTGGTGTTTCTCATTCAGCTCTCAATTATATGAAAACAATTGAACAGAAAAACTTAGATAACAGTCCCAAATTTTCAATGCCTAAGTCTTCATTTGAAAAAGAAAGTGATGGATTTTTCGATGATTTTTCATTTTCCTCAAATAGCATGTATGATAGAAGTGGTGAAAGACAAATACAATCATTTATGGATATAAGAAATTCCATGAAGCAAGATTGGGAAATTATAGAACCAGAAAGCAATAACAAGAATGTTAAAACTATGTTCGATCCTGAAATCAAAACGCAACCAACACCAGTAAGAGGTGCTGCACCTGAAGACGCAGCACAAAAGAAATTTGGAAATGTAAAAGCTATTTCTTCTGATCAATATTTCAATGAAGGTTTGCCAGAATATGAACGAAATGTCAACTTGAGTCGATTTCAAGGTTCCAATAGTATATCTTCTGCTGATTATTTTGGAGATGGTTCTGATAATAGACGTGGAAACAGCAGTTACACTGCCCAACAATTACAAAACATAGATTTGGATGATGTTAAACAAAGCGTTCGGCAGGGAGTTTCAAAAGTAGCTGGCAAATTGAGTTCTTTAGCAAATGGAGTCATGACTACTTTACAAGATAAATATGGTTATTAATAATGATAAAAATATTTTATTTCATATAAATTTTCTTTTATATTTTGTCATTTTCACTTTATATCTAAATTTGATTTGGTCTCACAGTGTTTGAAATGCATCACAAGACTTCCAGTATTGTCTGAAGCATTTTAATATACATAATCAAAATTGAGCCTAATCTTAGTATTATATCAATTCATTTTTTTTAATTTTGTAAAATGTTTTATATAATTCATTTCAATATTTAGTAGTATATATATTGTATGTATATATATATATATATATATATATATATATATATATATATATTATATATAATTTAACTACGTCAAATCAAGATGTAATATAGTCATTAATAAAACACCAATATTTAACTCAATTATCTAAAACTTTCAATTTGATTCAACACTGTATATTCCGTTATCACATTGATTTTTAAGAGTGACAAATGTAAGACCAAATCATTAATATGTGAAAATGATTCAATTTGTAAAATGCGAAATGTATGTAAATAATATATGCTACACTTTTAAGTGTTGAGGCCATATAATAAATACTTTTAGAACTACGAAAACTTTACTTTCAAAGTATACATGAATTACTATTTTTAATTATACAAAAAGGTCTGAAACAATTTAATGAAAACTTTATAACTTTATTTTGTTTTATGCAAAAAGACTTAATTTACAGTTTTAAGTTTTGCATTTATGTGTGCAATTAAAAAATAAATATGTAATTTAGAACATAAATATAACATAGTAATAAGTGTAACTAACCAGGCAATTATGTTAAGATATTTTGTTGTAGTATTGAATGCCCTACTCGAATTGTTGATAAATAATTACTTTAGACATTCTTGTATTTGTGCAACTTATTAAATTACTTTTGTATCTGATGCAGTTTACATACAAATAAAATATATTTAACACTTACCTTAGTGTCACCAAGTTGTCCAAATGTTTGTACATATCACACATGCTTTATAGGTAAAATATATAAATATGACATTAAATAAGCAAAAGCAAAACACAACTGTTGACTTGAAATTTATTGTACAAATATTTTACAAACAAAACACTTTAAAATACACTTCAACCATAGATAGGTAAGAAGTGGGATACTATATTACAGTTATAGCAACATTTAAATAAAATTATATAAAATCTATTTGTTTTTTATTTAATATTTCAAAAATAACCTAAAATATGATAAAACTTTATTATTATTTTGTTATTTATAGTTATGAAACTATAATGTACATTATGAAAGGCACTGTGCTTCGAAAACTTTCTTTCAGCAGTTTATTTGTACACATTTCACCAATAAAGGACAAAATGTATACAAATTAAACCAGTGAAGGTTTAATCAATATATAGAATTGGATTGTATTTAGAAAGTCGAATCATAAAAAATTAATTCCTAAAGATACATCACAGCTCCGAACAATTTACTTTTTAAAACTATTTCATTAAACATTTTATTATATAATCAGTAATATATAATACCTTTTAACATATATAATCAAAATTAATTGAATAATACTCTACATATAAATATAGGAAGACAGTTTTAACGTAAGTAATGTAAGTATATACAATTATGTAAAAATTTAATATTTGTATATATATATATATATATATATTTATTATTATTATTATTATAATATAATCTATCAGATAAGCATCAGATACAAAAGTATTTTTTGGAACAGTTTACCTCAGCAGCTTAATAAATTGCACAAAAACAAGCATGTCTAATATAATTATTTATGAGTTATATAGTTATTACTTAATAGTTTTTTGAAAATGTGCTAGTAATTAGCAAAATTGTTTCAACTTTGAACAAAAGAATATAATAAACAAATAAGAATTTGAATATAATTTGAATGTATTTGAATTGAGTGTATATTGAATATGATATAGTAAATAATATATAATAAATACTATAAGGTATGAAGATATACAATAAAAAAGAAAAAGCATGGTCATATGATAAAAAATAAGACAAATAAAAAAACAAAAAAAAAAAGTTATATAATAAAAAATATTAAAACTATCACAGACCCGTGATGTATGTGCTCTGCAGAATAACTAAAAGCAGCAATTTCCTTAAGTTTTTTGTAATTATAAATAGTATTTACAATTTAAATCATTTAATTGTTATGTTTAAAAATGATAATAAGTATTTATTTAAGTCTGACCATATTTAATCTTTCCTATCAAAAGAAATTAAATGAAGCACGTAAGATACAAACAATACAAGAATTCCTTTTGAATCTGATTCTAATCCTGGCAATTAAATTAATTTAATCGCATCAAAAGATATCTTGTTATGGAATATTAAATAATAGTATTATTATTTACCTTTTGTCAAGATTAATATCCACTGTTTGATTTGCTATTTTCTTCATAGGCAAATTCATCGGCGTATACTGAGTAACAGGTTTTAACTCTGTAGTATATTTTGAAGATTTTTCAATTGCAAATAAATTGCTATTTAGATTTCTAAAACCATCTCTAACATATTTCCTCTTATCCGACAGACTGTCATTCGCTTCATTAAACTCTTTATTTGATAAGACAGAAATGCCCTCATCACATGTGTATTGATCATTGGATTTTTTTCTATTTCTTTCGCATTTGTAATCATTATAAGATGGTTTTGCTTGATTTGTACCAAATACATTTTCATCATCATCGCTAACATGAATCATTTCATATTCTTTGTCATCAAGTCGGCTTTGAAATAATTTTCGTGGCAAAGATTTATATGGTTGTTTTTTAACTGGATAAGTATCGGGTGTTTTGGGCAATGTTCTATTTTGAACATTGAGTAACTTTCTAGGAAGAGATTTGGTATCCTGATTTAATTGTCCATAAATAACATCTGGTACAATTTTCTGCAACTGTTTGTGAATTTCATCATTGCCAGCTAAATTATGTTTATCTTTAAATGTTTTATTCACATTAATGTCTTTAACTTTACCACCTTCTACACCACATATAACACGGTTTGAATATGCTTGCATATGGTCTTCTTTCTGCTTATTTAGCATAAATTGTTCTAGAGTTACAAAGCCACTTAAACTCTCAGATCTTAATGGTGATTTTTCTAAAGGGCTTTTAAATTGATGAGTCTTATTGGCAAAATCAGTAGCATCAAAATCCACCAAATTGGGATTTGATGCATGTGTATAATTAATTGTAGAAATTTTGATTGTATGCTTAAGGGAACTATTACTTGAATCCTGTTTTAAGACATTTATATTATCTTTCATTTCTGTTTTGTTCTTAAAATCTTCTGATAGTGAGTAATCAGAAACTTGAAAACTGGGACTAGGAGTCGATATATTCTGAGGAATTTTTCTATAACTACGATATTGTGCTGTAGGAATAGGCATATCACAATTTGCTTTGATAATTGCTTTATCAGCATTTTTTGATTTCTCAGTATTTTTAGAAAAAAATCTAAGATACTTCCGATCTAAACTAGTTGAAGAACCAGAACTTTCTTCCGATGTCTGTTTATATCTGGCAAACTTTTTTAATGATCCAAACTTTGAATTGTGACTTTTATCTGATTTTCCTGCTTTATCAGTCGATGATGTGCTTTTTGATTCTGTTTTACGAACACATGATGTGGATTGGTCAGAATTATCAATGCTTTGGTCATTGTTATCTTTATCATCGTCAGAAGTATCACTTTCAGAGTATAATTTTGAATCTAGAATATACAGAATATCACTAAAATTTATTAAGATAAAAAAAAATTATAAAGAAAAATAGTCATATGAGTAAGGATTCCACATTTATAGTGAAGTATCTATTTGCCATTAAATATTAAGATTTTCATTTTCTAATCATGATGAGCATCATTTATATCAAGAGAGTACCTTTCACTTGACTATTTTTTTTGTTATTTTATTACAAGCAACAAGTGAAACAATATGCATACAAATTACTCACATTCTTTATCATTCAAATTTTCATGACTAAGAGTTGCTTGACCCAGAAGTTGTAGCCATTGTGTCAGTTCATCTTGATTCTCTGCTGAAAAATAAAATGCTATACCTGTATGATAAACTCTGAATGCCAGTTCACGAGACTTTACTTCAGTTGCCAGAGATACTGTATATCCTGGCAGAATCAACATGCAACTAGCTTTAGATGCCTGGTAAAAAAAATGGTTATTGCTAAAATAACAATAACTATTATACTAGATAAATTGATATTTGCAAACCTCCAAAGAAGAAAATCCATACAAGGTACTATCAATTAGAATAAATAATCTTTTTTCCCACTTGGGAACTTGATGATTTTTGGAACGCAATCTTTGATACAACCAACCATGTTTAATTGGTGGTGGAACAGTTTGCAATAAAGCTTTACCAGATATTGCACGACGCTCTAAAACAAAGAATTACTTAATTAAATAAATAGTATTTGCATATTTTTGCATAATCTCTACAAATAACAAATGCAAATACTAATATAATCGAATATAGTACATACTATTTAAAAGAGAATTCTTTTTCCTGATATTCCTATTTTTCCCCAATAGAGACATCACACCTGGAGATGATATCTTTGCAGTATCAGAAGATTTTGTAAGAAATAAATGGCTTTCATTACAAGCTAGTTTTTGGGCTGGTACAAGTGAACTTGCAACTGGACTAGAAACTTTTATGTCTTGTGTTAATTTGGGAGAATTAATTTTAGAATCACTACTATTTTGTATAAGTTTTCGAGCAGTAACAGCAGGTTTTAATGTATTTAGAGGCCTGGGAGGAGGTGAAGGAGCATAAAGAAAAACAGTTCTTGGTTCAGCTACAGGTTTTAATTCTATGTTGGGAGTTCGAAATTCTTTAGAAGTGCTAGATAACGATTTAATTGTAGCATTTTGCACAGTACTTTGTGTTAAATCATCCTGGTTATTTGACTGCGGATAAACAAATTTTATATTCGTGTTCTCATTTTCTGTTGAACATAAATTTTCCTCAAAGCTTTCAATTTTATCTGTATCCAGTATATTTTCTGTCATTTCCAAACTTATATTATTTGTATTCTCATCATCAACAAATGGTATAATATCAACACCTGTTGATATTTGACCATCCAGATGTATCTCATTATCATTCTTTGAAGTATCAAATCGAACACTTTTCAAATTCTTTTGTTCTGATATTTCTTCAATTTTGTTTTCAATAACATTACCCTCTCCACTAATAAAACATTTGATTTCAGTCTTAAATGTATTAGGTAATGCTTTATCATCTTTTATTTTGTTGTTGGCTTTTGCATTTAAACTGACACCAAGTACTGTTTTCGGTCTAGGAGATAATTCCAAACCATAACCGCAAGATGCTGATTTATCTCGTAGGCTTAAAGGGTCAGAGAGATTTATATCATTTTCAAGTTGATGAGTATCATAGCTGGATCCAGTGTGATTAGCACTTTGTTTGAGCTCTTTCCAAAACTATAAAAATAAATTTGAATCTTTCATTTTACAATATGATGTAGAGGTAGCATTTCCAATAGGAAAATCAAAGTAAAAATATAAGAATTTATCAAACACATAAAACAGAAAATGCAAACAGAGTTATCTATTTATTAATTTTTAATATAGCTAGTAAAAATTACTCATCTATTTACCTTTACATCACAATTTCCTCGGTTATAGAAAGAACTAGATCCAGAGATAGTATTCCTCCTTTGCAGAACACTTCTCGGTTTAGGAAGATAGAATCTGGTTTTATCACACATAATATTTTGTACAGTTGGGCTTTGATTAGTTAAAATATCACTATCAGAATCGGAACTATCAGATGTGTCAACTACCGGTTCAGGATTTGGCTTGATGTTTCTGCAGATATAAATTTGATAAAATTTTAATATTACAAAAATATTTATCCATTTTACCTTTAAATTTAATCGAATGTAAAAATAAAATTACAATTAATATTTATCATAACAATAATGAAATATAAAATATAAAACTTACCTTGACAATGGAAAATCAAAGTCAGGAATTGCTAATAATTCTGGTCTTGGGGATGGCAAATTTTCATGCCATCTTGTAAATGGTAGAGCACGTTTCTTACTCGGTAATCTAGGTAATGAATAAAATATTAATAACCACATTGCTTTATTTTTATTCAACTAATATTAATACTTAAAAAACATATTATTCGTCACCTCCAAAAGTTTATTATAGTGGATAGAATTAAACTCACCTATAAGGTTTCATATATATCTGGCCATAAATTTTAGTATGTTTAGGGCGCTTTTTTAATGTAAGTAATACATCTGGAGGGGATTCTTGAAATAATAATAACACCTTTTGTCTTTGCCAACCCACCACTGTTTGATAATTTACCTGAAAATGTAATTATTATGATTCAAGTAAGCAATTTATAAACAAAACTTATGTAATTTATTTACTTGAACTATTTCATCGCCTTCTTCAATTTTGCCACTAATATGGGCTGGGGAACCAAATTTTATATCTGAAATTTGCAAAGATCCATGATAATTTGGAAGAATACTAAATCCTAAATCATTTTCTCTTTTTTTTAATGTGGCCAAGTCTAAGCTAGCAGGTTGTAATAACATAGGATCAGTTATATCCTAAAAATTATGAAAACATTTTAAGTAATGAAACTAAATAAAAAATAAAAAAAGTGTTAATGAAATATAATATAACTTGTATAATTTCATCAGCCAATTTAGCCAGCTGATTAGCCATTCTACTTATTTCAGCCACGGGTTTATCAGCAAATCTATCTCTTTGTCCATTTGTAGCCATGTCAATTGCTAGCTTCAGTAAATTTGCTCTTTTTTCTGTAAATTCCATCTGCCCGCTAAATGGTGATCTATGTAAAGGATTCAGTATTAAGTTCACACTATATTCATATATCATATAAATCAATATAGTTTGATTATTATCACCTATCCAGCCAACAAGCCATAGGTTTTATTGTTGAAATAGTATGTGTCACACTACTCAAAATTTGTGTTTCTAGTTTATTGCTGTCCTCACAGTGGCAAAGTTCTCTATATAGTGACGTTGCAGCTGTACTTAATTTAAGTGCTAAGTGTTGCAAGTTTTCTCGGTCAAGATCATAATGCTATTAAAATAAATATTTGTTTATTATATAAAAATTGAACAATATCAAATATAGAAACCTACAAAGTTACGCAGATGTCCAACAGCCTCTAAAACTATTTCCTGATGTCCTATTTTATCCATTCCCAATTTCTGTAACTCGTCTGGTCGAATTTGTAAAAGTGTTTTACCAACAATTCCATTATTTAAGAAGTAGGGTATGTAGTTCCAAATTGCACTATCCAATCCTATAAAAATGATAATACAAAATCATTCTGGCAATTTTTTCATTAATCTATATAATTTTATGTACCTTTTAGCCAATCTGTTACCTGGTCCGGAGACCATTCCGCAACGTTCACATAAGCCATTTTATTTTGGTTTTATAGCTCATGTAAACCGAAATAATATGGATAGGAAATAGTGTAGAATATAATGAAAAAATAATTATCGGAAAATGTCACTTGATTATATTTATTAAAAACTCTATAGTGTGAATATTTAATGTCTTCATAATTAAATTACAAAAGAAATAGTACAGAGAAATTAATTTATTTAAAAATATATACACTGAATAAAATATAACTAAACATATTAAACAATACGTGTTCAAAATTAATATAAATAATACAAAGAAAAAAAGTGACAAGCAAACTGTCATTGCATGGGAAAGCACCAACAGAAAATTACGAATAATGTAAGGATCTTCGCGCACGTAAAGTGATTTATCCTTATTACACGATTTGGGATCATTTCTTCACAAGATACTTCAAATAAAGCTGTACTTTGTGATTTGCGTGCTTCTTTTCTATTTATCATCAAGTACAATTAAAATAATTTAATGTATTTGTCATCAAGTACAATTAAAATAATTTTTCATAATATTTAAACAATGACTATAGGTTTGTTATATGCACGGGACCTAACATTTTTGTTTGATGTGAAGTTAAAATCTTTCCAGCTAAAATCAAGTTGTGCGTGCATTTGTCAAATCAGTTTCTGTTTGGTGTTGTGCATCGGCATTACATAATAAAGTTATTCAAAATCACCGATTTCTAATAAACAATAATGTCTGTACATACAATAATGATGGATTTTTCAATAGATCCAAATCGCGTACTTGATTCAAAAGGTCAAAAATCCGTTTACGATCGCATTATTGAGAAATTAAACGAGCACTTTGATAAATTAACCTTTTTGAATGAAGTAAAAATCGATGGTGGTTCTTTGAAATTATACTCCTCAGTGAGAGGTTCTGTTTTTTATATTAGAATATATGAAAGAGGATTAATTACTATAAATTTAGAATACTATAAAGTAGAAAATGAAGAACCTCTTATAACATTTGATGTAAGTTTATTTTTGTTACATTAAATCTAATTTGAAAAGTTATATTCATTAAATATATGTATATTCTTCTGTTGGTGTAGCTGCTAGAGCTACAAATATTTTGGAACAATAAGTAGTAATGTTTTCTTCAATATTTGTTATGCCATTCAAGTTTTATTAAAATCTATATCAATATAGAAATTTAAAACATTATCCTTTGAATTAGAAATCTTGGACTATAATAATAGTATTTTCTTCAGTGTTATAAAAGATTAACATGTTTTCAGAATATTAAGTTATTGGAAAATGAAATTCGAGATCGTTTAGGTAGCACTCGTTCTAAACACTTTCCACCAATTAAACGTGGTTGCTGTATAGACATCTATTTTACAAGCTCAGGTCTGAAATATTAAAATCTCAGCATTTCAATGAGCGCATGATTTATTCATTTTGCATCATATGTTAAGTATGTGCATTATGTTTGGTCACATACATTCTCACAATGATTGTTTATTCTATTATTCCTGAATTTATTATAATCACATATTGCCTGTTTTGTTTTTGTTTCAATTTTTAATAATTTGCATCAGAATGAATTTTTTCCATGAAAAGGTTTTCAATATCAACATTTAGATCATACATCTAATTACATTTTTGGGGATCATTTTGAAAGAACATAATAAGCCAAATCTTTTATTGCTAATTGAGACAGATCATTATAGGTACGGGGAAGTAAAACCCCTTAATAGTAATTTTGTGAATGCTGCTTAATGATAAATACTGGTCTATAAATGTTTTAAGAAGTTTGCTGTAAATTATTATTCAATGTCTGTGAATTTGTATGATCAGGTGCGTTTTTATAACCAAATTTATCATGTTCTTTATATCTATACTTGTAAGTTTATGTTTTCATAAATCTTACTTCATAATGCGATGTTTCCTGTATGATATCCTAAAAGTGTATGCAGACTTTTAATCTAATTTAGCCACTCCTATATCTTTTTTCTTCAACATGTCATTGTTATGGTTTTAGTTAGTTTTATTTCATTTTATATTTTAGTCTGCTCGTGATCTTAAAAACAAAATTTACACATTTTGTAGTATGAGTAAATGTCATGCTTACCCAACAGTTAAAAGAGGAGATTTCTGTAGATATTTCCCAACATCAGGTCAGTCAATGTAAATAAGTCTAAAGGATTTTTAAATGAACCATGTATCTGATATCTAGAGAGTTCATGATTTTGTTATGGGTCATTTTATGATGTTTATCTTTTGTGCAATACTAATTACATAATTAAGTAATGCATATTTTAAATTAATATCTCATTTATTCTTTTAAAATATGACCCTTATTGCTGAAAAAAATCAGATTTTCATGATTTTATCACATGAATTGAAAAAGCACATAAAATCCCAACTAAAATTAAAATAATGAATTCAGTCAGAAATATTTATACTTATACATTGCTCTTATTCCTGCAGAGATAACATTCGTTATGTGTTTATTTGGTTTATATTACATTGAATTATAACAATTTTTACATAATTAGAATAATTGCATTAAATATATAACAAATAATGATTCCATGCTCTCTAAATATCAGCATATTTCTGTATGTTATAGAGTTCATGCTAGTCGATGTCTTGCTCAAACTGTTCTATAAATTAAAATTTAAATAAATTATAGATTTATGAATCCAATCATAAAGTTTTAACAGCATGAAAATATTAGCATAATTTGGTATAATCATTAACTAGCAATTTCTCTGTATATTTTTTTTATATGTGGAGACGTAGACTTTTGATTGAAAAAGTATTTATAGTTATATGGTCCTTTAACTTTTACAGATGAAAGACTCATGGAGTATGATATTGATGAAATTGTGTTTGATGATCATTCTCAATATCAAAAAGTTCAAATAGTGCATTCGAAGAGTTTGGGAAATATGCTGGTGTTGGATGAATTACAAAGTAAAGTTATATCTATTGTTGACTATCCAGATAATTTTGTTAATAAATAAATATTTAATAATTATAGATATAGCAGAATCAGATCTGATTTACACTGAAACACTAATGCAAAGAGGGAAAGAAAACTATGAAAACAAAGAAATAGTCATTTTAGGTAAAATATTAGAAAAATTCCCAACCATTTTAATAAAGATTAGACTAGATTGAAAACATATTGTAAAATTAAATATTTAAAAACTATATTATTTCATTATGAATGCAATAGCATAATCTATTATAGGTGGAGGGGATGGAGCCCTACTTTATGAACTTCTCAAAGAAAAACCAAAGTTTGTGACAATGCTGGAAATTGATGAAATGGTTATGAAAGCTTGTAGCAAACATTTAAGATCAATTTGTGGTGATGTCCTGGACCAAATGAGAGGAGAAAATTATGAGGTTTTATTTTAACTTGGCTTTGAATTATCCAACTTCAAATAAGTAATAATATATTATATTAAAAATAAATTTAATTCATTACAAACAGATAATAGTTGGAGATTGTCTCGATACATTGAAGAAATTCATCAATGAAAATCACAAAGTTGATTATATATTTGGTGATCTGACTGATATACCAATTTCTAAATCAACTCAATCAGATTTAACATGGAGTTTTATTAAAGTTATCATGAAAATGTCATTTGAGGTCTTAAACCCCAAAGGCAAATTTATGACCCATGTAAGTACATTTATATTTGCTTTTATTGATGAATATATTAAAATCAATAACGTTGATTAGGGAAATGGATCTGCCAACCCAGAATCCTTAAAGCTATTTGAAGAACATTTGAATGCAGTGAGGCCTGCAGTAAACTATACGAAGACTGAAGCTTTTGTGCCATCATTCCTTGAAAATTGGGTGTTTTATCAAATACAGCAAAAATCTCAATAACATCCCGATATATATGTTCTTTTATACTAGTAGTAAGATAATTAATATTAGTCATCCTTTTAAATCATGTTCAAAGTTATTTGAACATGAATTATAGTTAGTTTAATGTAGTAGTGATCCAAATGTACCAAAAATAATTTTTTTGATAATGTAAATTATCTATAATTGTTTTGAAGAATTCTGTCATTTCGTAACATGTATTAACTAGTACAATTTTACACTATCATTAAAATGATATTAGTCAAGAGTTAAATGATAAATAACACATAGTAAATATTAAGTACAAAAATATTAACTTAATAGCATTTAATTGCTATTTTTGTCTGCTTAAATAATTTTAAACCATAATTTAAAGACCAAAGATTTATAATATGAATTAAAATCACAGTATTAATTCACAGAAATATTTTGTTCTTGTAGTAATACTTCATATATATTTCAATTGTAGTTTTAAGTAAAGTCTACCACTCCAAAAATGTTTCTTCTAAACAATGTGTTCAAATTTAAATAAATATATAAGAAATAAACTGAACCTTGAACCAGAGTTGTATTTTAATTGAATATTTCACTTTTATTTCTATGAAAAGTTGCATACAAAAAGCAAAATTCATTGAAAATACTTTGATATTGAAAACAATTCAATGCAACCTTAATAAACATCATCAAATTTTGACTTGGATTATTTAAATCCAAGATTTAAATAATCTTGGATATATTTCTCATAAAATTGCATGATTGAATTGATTGATTGATTGATTGAATTATCAAATTTGGTTTTCAACTATTTTTGAGAATTTTTTAAAATATGCACTACAGATACCGCTTGTACAGATAGGTATTCAGTTTTGTTTTGTTCTATCGCATTGCAATTTGTTACCACTAGCAAGCTGTATGTAGATCCTATGGAATTTAACAATTGTAAATGAGATACAAACAAAGTTATTTGAAGAAAGCACTTAATTATATGATTATTCTTATAAAAGAGGTATATGCAACTTTATTAACACAAATTGTATTATTAAGTTTCTTGTCAGGTAAGAAGATTGAAACTATATTTTAAAAGAGTTGATATTCCAACATTTTATCTTTTACACATTATGTTGTAAAAAATTATACAGCAACTTAGCATTTCTTTTAGGTACAATATGAATTTCGAACAGTACAAAAATATTACAAATGCTTCTGTTCATGCTTCGTGTATAACTGTTCATAGTATTTATTCTTGAAAACATCATCCAGTTATTACATACTGTATAATAAATTTCATAAAGAACTCGTTAATTAGTTTTGTACTAAAAAAAGTTTTTGACTCACATTGTAAATCCTCCGGGCCCTACAATATAGAAATACTTTCTTTCACTTTTATACATGTGATTAACCATATCAATCATGTGTTCCGTATAACACGGTAGATTTTTTTGAACATAACCACCGTGTTATAAGGGGGTTACCAGCATCTGTTCTTCCGTTATGCTACACTAATTAATTGAGTCTAATTATGATTTTGATAAAAAAATTTAACAGGCTACACGCCTAACGATACAAAATACTTTGACAACTCAAAATCACTATTATTTTGCTTGCAATTTGTAACATGCGCATTGCAGCATTTGACATTTCTTATTGAGACACGGCAGTGATGGCCAACATTTTTCAATTTTATTCTTGTACCTGTTGCAAATTGTTCTTAAATAAAACTTTTATCTTTAAGATTAACGCAAGCAAAAATAAATAGAACATTATATATCGTTTTATAATATTTAACAAAAAAATTTCCAATACTTGTGTTTTTTTCATTTAAGAGACTTTGTATAATAATAAGTATGACTGAATATTATTTCTTAAAATGTTGGCTACCTCTGCCATACTATGTAGCCCCCAGACGAAAGATCCCATGAAGATCTTTGTCATCTGTCGAAAAAATTAGCAAATTCGATGAAATACCAGATGGATAATCTGAAAGTGCCAAAATATGTTTAATTGTACATCATAGATTAATCTTTTATGTCACATAATGTTTAATTAATCCACAAATTGGACTTTTATCCGTATAAAAGTCTTCTATATTTTTAAGCCATGGAAAATTATGAAAAAATAGCCAATGAAGTAAGTCTTATCGTATTTATAATGTAATTTTTTCTAAGAAATACCTCGACTATATCTTCTAAAATCAATTTTAGAAGTCATCCTGTATAAAATATTTTTGTCAAATTCCTTCAGTAATAATAAAAGTACATATTTACAATTATTCAAATTCCTTATCACATTCCTGCACTCAGAATGAATAATCAATGAATAGCAATTTGTAATTGCTATATCATTGATGACAATTTAAAATATTTTTATATTATGAGAAAAATTTGTATATAAATTTCTATTTATCTTAAATATAGCTAAAAAGCAAGGTCCATGAAAGTTTTCTGCGCTTACATGATACACTGAATAATCGGGAAAAACAAATCATTAGACAGATTGATGTATTGCTACAACAGCAACAAAATAATGCATTGGACGTGAAAAAAAATCATTGGAAACAATTTGACATCAGTAATGAGAGTGAAAAATCAATCATCTCAGACATAATGAAATTTGGAGAATTAGATTTAAGTAACATCACCTTGGATAGCAATCTTTATGTTATAGAAGACTATATCAGCCCTAATAATGATCATGAATGCTTATACAAATGTTTAGATACATTAAATATGGTATCCAGCACTGAAGATTTGAAAGTGCAAGTGCAATTTCCTCAGTGTAAATATTTAAATTTAATTTCGGACAAAACTGAAAAAATAGAAAATAACCTGATTACTTCCAATAATAAACAGAACAAACAAAACTCGCCAGGATCAAATACAATAAAAAGTTCGGATTCTTTTGATAGTGCTAAAACTAGTTTTACCGAAAAATCATTTACAGACAGCTCTCCAACAAATAATGAAGACCTCAAGCATCAACCAACTCAAGTTCAATATTGGCTGAAACAAATCATAGCTGAGACTGAAATCGAACCAGTACAAAATACTGAAAAACAATTGGTGATAGGTTAATTAAATAAATCTTTTAAATATTAACTCATTAGTACTTAAATACTCTTGTAGGTCCTGTTAACTGTATGTATATGTTATGTATGTGTATGTTTATTAATATTGATTATTTGAAGGATTTTATGAATCATGTGTATATATTATGAAATAAAGTAAATTGATCACTGTATATTTTTCTCTATATTCAAGATACAATTTGATATTTGCTTACCTTGTTAATAAAACAGGTTCTCTTCTATAACAGGTTGCATTTACAGTGGAGCATTCTCAAAAATTGCTTTTTTTCAACTGTAAGAAATTTCAAATAGAGTACATACTGTCTTCATCTTCCATATCTTGAATGTTCATTTAAAATATGCGTGAAGATCATTTCATAGCTAGCTCAATTTTCTCATCTTAAAATAAAAATTAGCATTATTTTTAGCATAAATATTAATGGGGAATCTGATTTCTGCAAGGTTACATGAATTTTAAAGCATATATATGATGTTAACTTAAATTTACATTTATACATATAATAGAATTTATTTAATAGAAGCATATAAAAAGTTTATGATATGCAATAAATTTACAATTAATCAATGCAATTTATAAATATAACAAATATAAATATATCATAAAAAAATAGTTCATCTAATATCTAAAATTATTTTAGTTCACTATCTTCACTAAACCCACTTGAGAACTGTTACCAATGCTGGAACCATCCAAACTATCTAAGTCAAGAGCTGTATCTATCATCGTTGTATCTTGGAGAAGTTGTAATCTACTAGCACTTAACACTGTATCGTTACTATTTGGAGCATTCGTCTGATTACAGTTTTCAAAATTAATAATACTGTTTTTACTGTCATCACCGTTATCCTTTTTTGTTGTACCCTTTAAATTTAAATTATTTTTATAAAATTCTGTGCCATGCATAGACTCTTTAGCTATTTTTCTCACTTGGACCTTAGCCATGTTACTCGTTAGTTCCACGGGATCCAAATCTAAATCATTATTGAAACCAATGTTTCTTTCTTCATTCACTGCAGATGCCACTGGGATATTGGAATACAAATGCATACTTGCATCATCAGTTTTACCATCACCACCTTGCATAAAATCAACACTAGGAATATTGGAATAGATGTTTCCACATTCCAGAGGTTTTAAATCATGTGGTACAGCCTCAGAACATACTTCAGTTTCTGTAGTACAGCTGTCCACATTAAATAAATTGTTGTAACTACCACTGTTTTGTTTCGACATCTGATTTGAATTATTAATATCACCAACATCAGCCATCGTACCTTCCCCTAATCCATTTGGTAATGTTGCTAATGCTATTTCATTGCTTACTAAATGCGTAGCACTCGAACTATTGGGATCTGAAATAGATGAATTGCAGTTACAGAATATTTGTGAAGTTAAAAATAAACATATGAAGACGTATATACTCAATGACTGTTCCTTTATATACATCATTATTATTAATAGTTCCAAATAAAAAAGCAGTTTTTAGCATGGATATAATAAACTTTTAGAACCAAAATATAAAGCATGATTGAACTATATATTAATAACTATTCCAGTTTGCAAATTGACTATAACTATTCAAACATTTAAAAAGCAACTGCTATAAAATATCAGTGTGAAAACCTTGATTCCTTGAAAGTATAAATATTGATTCTTCTTTTAGACTAATATGAACGATATTATATTATGTTAAATTAACAGCAGTTTTGTTTATATTATATATATATATATATATATATATATATATATATATATACAAGCAACTAACAAAGCTCTATTTTCTCAGACCACAGTGAAAAGTTTAATTTTGCAAATTTCTTACATGCTATAATGTACAGTGTGTCTAGGAATATCATGCCATCATCCTAAATTTAAACCTATTGTATAAAAAGCATTTTTTGTATTGCAAAGCTCTATATATATTGTGTACTTTAATAATTGCACACACTCACCTATATATAGGTACTCCATAGAAAAGCAATACAAAAATGTTTCAAATTTAATATATTCAAGTATAATAGGCATGGTATAAAAACAAACAATTATACACAAATTTACAATATTTCTATCTTCTAAAATCCAAACATGAGCAGATACAAAATTTTATATACCGCAACAAAGGAATGTTTAATACTTTTATACAGTTTTGTACATTGCAAGCAAATATATAACAAGAGTGCATAAAAATAGACTTTATATACAATCATTTTTTTAAAAATAAATACTCTTTTTAAATTGAATAGTTACTCAAAATATAGCAAATATGTTAATCATTTCACATCAAATTCTACTAATCGATTGCCTGTTCCATTTATTTCATTTTTTTTAATATCATTTTTTATACTACCTTCTAGAATAAAAATATATTTTTTTAAAATAGAATTATATATAAAATTTTTAATTTTGTCTTACAGACTTCTACACTTATTGCTCTTTTTGCTAGATATGGAAATAAATTTTGCTCAAAATTTAAAAATTGAGATCAATAAAAAAATCATTTACAGAAATCCGCAGTTTCTAAAAAATTTCTTATTAAAACGTCTTTTAATATAAATATATCCTGTTATATTATATTTTCTATTTTACAGTATTTTCTAAAATTTGCGATTTTGGCAATCTTGTTCTATTATGCTTTGCAATTACTGGTTTTATATTAAAATTACTTTTATTGAATAAATTGCTAGATTGAAAATTATATGTGTTTTCTAACTGTGGTTTATAAGCTGTAAAATCAGGCAACGGAATATTATTATCTAGTACCATATCTGTAAAATTACTTTGTAATATAAGACTTTGACTTGACGAACTTTCTAAATTTTGCATTTTATTATTATTGCAATTAGTATAAATATTCGTAATATTTTCAATATTAATTATTTCACTTTCATCAACATTTTCTTGAGAAACATTACTTAAAAAATCATTACTGCAAGTATCGATTGGATTGTCTTCTGGAATACTATGCATTAAAGGAACCAAAACATCATTAAAAATATATTTGTCTCTTTTCTTGAATGATGTATTTTTATTTAATTTGTAGAAATCAGATTTACGTGTAATGCCCTCTAAATTGTGCTCACGCAATATTGATTTTATTGAAATATGTTTCGGTATATTATAAGGATGTTTATGTGTACCGATTGCGTATTTATAATACTCGTATGTTGCATTCAAATTGGTGTTAGTATAAAAATCTGGAGCATTGTTCAACTCACCAAAGCTGTCAGGACGATTTCTGTAAATGCCATGAGGTAGAGAATCACCACTCTTATTTAAAATTTCTACATTCTGTAAAAATAATAATAAAATTAAGATTAATTTTATTTTCAAATATTCAAATTGATAAGGGTTTTTTCATTAAAAAAATTATGGTAACAGTAACAAAATAGAAATATTGTTTTAAAGATAAATTTTAATTTTGAAAAACCTACCTCCATATGTGAAAAATTTTTATTTGTTATGACAAGATCATTTTGTTTGTCACCATATAGGCAATCTCCATTTAAATCTCCTGCGACTATGCCTCTTCTGTGGAATAAAATAATATTAAAACGATATATTAAATATTATTGAACTAAAAGAGTTAAGGATTAATTACCTGTCAATTAATGAAGGAGTTACAGGTCCACAAAGAATATGAAAGCAGTTTAAACATACATTGCCTCTAGAGTAAGGGTTAGAGGATAATTGGCCTGCCTTCGCACTAAATGAACCTTTTATCTAAAAAGATTATCAAAATTAACATTGATCATGTAACATTGATAATTGTAAATAAAATTGTATCTGCATAATGTAAGTGTAAAAACAATGAATAATAAAATTATTTCCATGAAATATTCAATTTTATTATTACTAACATCTTCGTTGGTTGTTTGATTGCTGGTAATCAAATAAGTATGAAATCCAGCTAATCCTAAAACAGACCAAACAGAAAAAAAGCATATCACAACCACGATTACACTTGGGGGGCTCTCCTTAACAGCTTCCAAAAATTGCTTATCATCTTTAGTCACTGAAAATATACAAAACAAAAATCAGATTTTCACATTGTAACTTGTTTAATTGTTACTATCACAAATTAATATTACTTCAATAGTTATGAAAGTAAAAGAGAAAGTAAAATTTGAAATAAAATAAAAATCATTATAGAAGCGATTTCACACTATTACATTGGAGATTTTATTGAGTGTTTCTAAAATGTTTGATCTGATTATAATTAAGTCGTGAAATAAATTATTCAATACCAATATACTTGAACAAAAATTGCTAATCAATGTTAAATATTAATTTATAGTTGAACAACAGGAAATCAAGCAATATAATGAATATTTAAACTTTATTTTCTACAAAGCCAAAAATATGTATATGTATTTCCTGAGTACATATTGATAGAAGAATCTAATTTTTCATGCATAGTTGCCCACGAGGACGATATCGCAATAAAAAAAACACCGATTTTTTACTAAAATAACACTGAAAATAAAATACTCATAGAACGTGCTTTGTATCAATTTAACAGCATTGGATATAATCCAGAAAGTGAAGGTTTCGGAGGTGTATTATTAACACTTTATTAACAGTATGTAGTATCCATGCAGAATATAAAATTAATGGAATAATAACAGATAAAATAATAATGACAGATAATAAAATTTATAAAATTATTTCGTTAAACTATTTTTAACCCAACACAGAATGTAAAACTCTAATCAAGTTCTAAATGAATAAGTAAACAAATATATATATATATATATATATATATATATATATATATATATATAGCATTTATAAAATACAGTTATGAAATAACAAAAGTATACTGAAAAAAAAATGAACATATCAACAACTACAGTGTAGTTACTACACGCTTCATATAAAATTTATCTAGTAGTAAAAAAGTAGATAAAATCACTTAACTATTCAATTTTATTACTGACTTGAAGACAAAAGATTCACATTCATTGCAGTAGATTTACTACACTCATTCATTAAATTTACAACAGTCATGCATGAAGATTTACATTCATTTTCGTAGATTTACAAAACTCATTAAAGTAGATTTACAACTCATTCATGAAAAATTTGAAAAGATTTTAGTAACACATAGAAGCCCCCCGTATAATTAACACGGAGGTGACTAGGTTTCTGGTCACATATCAACAAAGACAACAAAAAAGACAAACATTATATGATTGTTACAATACAATCTAGCAGGATAAATAAACAAAATCCATACTTACACATAATTAGGTGGGTTATAGCACATGCGAATATAAAGACAGCGAGAAATGCAAGAGAGACAATAAACATGTAGAAGAATCTGTAATTTCTTTTGCCCACGCAATTACCAACCTGAAAAGGCGCCTAATATTACTAATCATGTAAGATCTAATATAAATAACAATTCAATATTACTCGTTTGATAGAATTTTTTATTGACGATTACAATTTACTCAAATTAAATGATTTAATAATTTACGTCGATCTATATGATCGGTATAATACTAAGAGAGAGTAATAATCTTTATATAATTTTTTTAAAAATGATCCTTCTCCAACAATTTTCTCAAACTCGCTTTTGGTCGCAAACGAAAGACATATCAAAAATCAATTAACATATTTCTATAGTGATCTGGATTATTTATTACAATTAATGTAAAATAAACATTTGTTAGTGTTAGATGAAGTTTAAATAAATTTCATCTTTCCTCGCCTTTAAAATTATGTATAATTTATTTAAATTCCAAGGTAGGCTGATTTTAATCTTGTTTATGATCAAAACTTCAATTTGGCATTCACACAATAATATAATACGAATAAACAAATTTTATTAAATAATATATAAATATATTTTTTGCATATATATAATTATATGTATATCTTCGGCGGTATTTATGAAATAATTACGTTATAATTAACGACCGTTAAAACAAATAATTTCTAAAATAAATATTCAAACAATGTTTGACACAACAACTAAACAGTCTCACATAATAATTGATGAATCATTTCACATTTTTGCTTTACAGTTATGAAGTTTACAGGAAGTTAATGAAATAACTTTTTTATTTCCACAATTTTAAAATAAAATCTTGAAAAAGAAGACATTATAGTTATTTCATATAATAAAATCAGTAAGAGTGTATAATAAGAAAAATCTAAATCATTTACACAAAGATATAAAATAATTGAGACACTTATTAAAAAGTATTATAAGTAAATATAACATATTTCTTTAAGATTAATATTTATTCTTATGCAAGTAAAAGAATATAAATTAAACTTCTCATTATGCATGACAAATGAAAAAATAAATAAACAAAATTTATCAGTTGTAAATTTAATAAAAAGTATATGTACAAAATTGAACTTACCCATGGGCAATGGTGGTCGAATCTTTCCACGCAGTTATCGCAAAAGCTGCAATGGGAAGCCCGAGGAGGACGGAATATTTTGCAAGTTATGCAATATTTTAATTTAACGCAATGACCTTTCACAAGAACCTCTTTTGTACGAGGTGGAGGCCTGTGCGTTGGACTATTCACAGAATTTGGTATTTCTGAAAAATATGAATTACAAAAATAATTGATTAATATGTTTTAAACAAACAAAAAATTAAAAAATGATATATGTAAAATATTTCTTCTTTGCTTACAAGTATTTTTTATTATTATAAAATAAATAAAAGATAATAAAATAGAAAATCTGAATATAATATATAATAAATCATTATTAATATAATCACCTATTTGTTGTTCGATGTACATTGCTTCATCAGAAGGAGCCCTAGGTATTATACCTGGATCACTAAAAGAAGTTCTCAACAAAGAACTCATCGTAAATGCGAATAATAAAGCCCCCACAACTGGTAATAGTGGTGATACATGATATGATAAAAATGGACAGCTAAAATTATAGGTTTCACATTTATAAACAATTGATAAATTTATAACAATAAGCTATTGTTATGAATGGCATTCCATTTGGATGTTTTGGTTGTATGTATGATTAATGAAATACCTTTTTAAAATGTTATACATTTTTTAAAATAACTGTATAATGTATTCATAAACAATTTTATTAATAATGTAATATCCAACAAAACCCAAATCAAACAATGAGCCTAACCAATATTTAATTTATAATTGAATTTATATATTTTTTCAATTATTAATTTCATTCTTAATTCTATTATGTAAATATTTTATGATAATAATACTCACTCAAAAACAAAAAATAATCCACTAGTCACAGAAATGAGTATTACAGTCAAATAGAAGACACCAGAATGGGGAGCGGTCATGAGGTAGCCATCGCAAAAAAATTTATTGCGTCCAGCAAATACCTCCCATTTGCGTGTTACGCGTTTGCTAGGGGGCATTGTTGTGATGTACACTGATGTATTAATGAATTTAGAGCCTCGATGCAATTTTATATCAGGGCGAATATATTCTTCGTCTGATATAGTTGGAGAAATATCCGAAAGGGAAGAATTTACTAAAACAGTAATTGATAAATGAACTATTTAATGCTTTTTTCTAAAAACTATTTAGGATACAATCTTAATAAATCAATACATGAAACTATATTTATTTAATTATCAATTAATTATTTTTTTAGAAAAGCATCGTAACTTATTAACTAGTTAATATACTACATAATAATTGAATGTGATAATTAAATATATAACAAAAAATCTGCTTATTCAATTGAACACTATTTCAAAGAGTTTGAAATATAGAATGTGCACAGTATACATAAAGAAATTCATAAAAAGAAAATGTAAATAATAATTTTTTTTTAATAAATATATACTTACATTCTAAATTAATAGGAGGTTCAAAAGTTGCAACGGGCTGATAAACGCACTCATTTAAATTCATTTATAACATTAAAATTAATAGAAAAAAATGTATGTAATCATCAAAAATAAAAATAAAATTCTTCGCTGACCTAGCCTTACATAAAACTAACAAAACAACAGCATAGAAAATTATTTCTTTTTCACATGATCGTATTTAAAGTCAACAATTAAACGTATATTTAATTTACACATCTTGCTACATATTGATCATCACGTTATTGTTTTTAAAAAATACTTCATACGAAATGTAAGGATTTGACAACTTTGTCAAACTCACAAATGGACTGTCACAAAATATTACAAAGATCAAGAATCCATTTAAAGGATAGACAACAAAATAAAAATAAAACGCGGTAATTTTGAAAATGACATTTTTATGAATTATATAATTTTAATTCAAATAGTATACAACTTAATTTTCAAATTGAGTACTAATGTGTAAAAAGTGTATGCAAATAAATTTTTGAATCGTTTCTTAAGTTCCGATTTAGTTAAATTTATTTAAAAAAGATTGATTGCATCGGTAATGACTAATCTATAACCTGTCATTCCATGTCGCCTGTTGTGTAGGTTAGAGCGACCCGAGAGAGAATCTATCAAATCTTATAATGGAAGACCTGGGACAAGATAGGTTAGATAATATAAAAACAAATACGAGTGAGAAAAGCTTTAGAGCCAAAGGTAATTTATTTAGGTTTCTGTAAATGTGTAATGGCAAACGATTCTTCGAATTGACATTTTGGTCATTAACATTTAACTAGTTTTAAATATTATTGTAAACATACATACATAGGAAACAATTTGATAATAATAATAATAAATACAATGAACATAATTGGCACAACGTCTGCTAGCAATTGTGATTTAATTCTAGTTGCGTAAATAGTTTTGATGCACCCAAGAAATGTCTGAATCTGTAGTATATAATCATGCATATTTCAGCTGCTTTATTTTTGGCTGGGGTGTCTGGTCTATCAGCGATAATTGGGTTCAGCACAACAGTAGCTGCTGTTAAGAAACGAAATCCCAATACCTTTGATCAAGGTGTAGCTGCTCATGCCGTTAAGGGTATGGACAGTGGAGCCCAATTAGCATTAAGGGCATTGGGATATGGTACAGTTCTTGCTTTTACTGGTTGTGGAGTTCTTTTTTATGGAATTTGGAAATTATCTGGTGCTTCAAGCGTAAGATCTATAGAACAAGTTTTTAGAAAATCAAAGCTTTCACGAGTGTTTTATATTGCAGCTCTCAGATTTCCGCCAGAAAGCAGGATCAATCTTGCCAAGATTAACTCCTATAGAACACAAGTCCAAAACAGAATTTTCAGGGTTGAATGAGTTGCTTAGTTATATTTCAAGGGAACGGTAGAATAGGAGATTAATATAAATAATCTTATTGCAGATGTATTTATTTGTATTATTAATGCTCAGCATTTCTGCTTTGAAATAGTTGTCTGGAATACATATAATTTAGCATGGATGATATTAAATAAGTCATAAGTGAACCATAAAAACTTGAATGTTTGTTATTACATGGTGTAATAAGAACACCAAAGTTATCGCTTCATTAAATAAAAAACAATTATGTACATAATCATCAGTTTAATTTTACAGTTTTACAAAAAAACTATTTCACAGTACAATTATTTCTTTGTTCACCAAAAGAATTGTAGCTGCCATGGGATTCCTGGAATAAATTTAATATCATTACAAAAGAAATTCTATTATAATAATTATAATACTTATTAAGTTATTTGAGAATGTAGTCAAGCATTGTATTGAATGAAGTATTAACTTCAAACAACATAGCGAGCAATGACATTGATATATGCAGTTTGAAACGTCTTGATAAATTGATATGCATTAACAAGGAGCTGGACTGCATATTATACAATTAATGAATTAGGAACTTACATAATAAACTAAGTCTTTCAGTTTAGCATTTCAACCACCACAACTGCAGAAAAACAATGAGCAAATTGTCAAGGACATTCTTGTATGTACTTTAAATTGTAAAATTGCTGCACATTGTTCAGCTAGTCTTTTCATAATCAGAGAGCTTTCCATTTGAAGATACCTAAAGAACATCAGAAGATGTTATATTTGTGTATAGAAATATTCACATAAATATGTATATTTCTCATATTTGAGAAAAATAATGTAGTCAAGCATTGTATTGAATAAAGTACTGACATTAAACAACATAGCGAGCAATGACTTCGTTCTGTGCAGTTTGAAACGTCTTATTTATTTCAGTCATAAATAAGGAGCTGGACTGCACCTTAATATAATAGATAATGTTCAACTTACAACTTGAATATGCAGTAAACCAATCTGGTTTCATATTTTCAAGAAGCTGGTTAGCAAATTGTTCAGCTAATTTCTCCCAAGCATCATATAGGGTATTAACATCATAAAATGCCTAAAGAAAAAAAAAGGTAAATGTGAGCATACTAAAATGTTCACACATTTTGCAATATAAGATTTGAAGCAATTGTAGTCAAGCATTGTATTGAATAAAGTATTGACTTTAAACAACATAGCGAGCAATGACTCTTGATCTGTGCAGTTTGAAACGCCTTATTTAATTCAGTCATAAACAAGGAGCTGGACTGCACCATAATATAATAATTGAATGTTTAATTTACCCCTTGAATAAGAATTCTTTCTCAATGTGGTTTCTCATTCCAAACGAGCTGCATTGCTCCTTGTTCAGCTACTTATTACTTCTTCTGAGCATTGGGAGTGTTTTTGGTGTTTACATCAAAAGACACCTAAGCCAACAAAAAATAGTTTATCTCAACACATGCACATATACATGAAAATATAAAATAAAGAAAATGTAGTCAAGCATTGTATTGAATAAAGTATTGACTTTAAACAACATAGCGAGCAATGACTTTGATCTGTGCAGTTTGAAACGTCTCATTTAATTCAGTCATAAACAAGGAGCTGGACTGCACCATAATATAATAAATGAATGTTTAATTTACCCCTTGAACAAGAATGCTTTCTCAATGTGGTTTCTCATTCCAAACGAGCTGCATTGCTCCTTGTTCAGCTACTTATTACTTCTTCTGAGCATTGGGAGTGTTTCTGGTATTTACATCATAAGACACCTAAGCCAACAAAAATTAGTTTATCTCAACACATGCACATATACATGAAAATATAAAATAAAGAAAATGTAGTCAAGCATTGTATTGAATAAAGTATTGACTTTAAACAACATAGCGAGCAATGACTCTTTGATCTGTGCAGTTTGAAACGTCTCATTTAATTCAGTCATAAACAAGGAGCTGGACTGCACTATAATATAATAAATGAATGTTTAATTTACCCCTTGAATAAGAATGCTTTCTCAATGTGGTTTCTCATTCCAAACGAGCTGCATTGCTCATTGCTCAACTACTTTTCACTCCTTCAGAGCATTGGGAGAATTTTTGGTATTTACATCATAAGACACCTAAACCAACAAAAATTAGTTAATTTATCTGAACACATGCACACATATATTAAAATATAAAGTACAAAAAATGTAGTCAAGCATTGTATTGAATAAAGTATTGACTTTAAACAACATAGCGAGCAATGACTCTTGATCTGTGCAGTTTGAAACGTCTCATTTAATTAAACCATAAACAAGGAGCTGGACTGCACCACACAACAAATCATGTGTTTAAAAATATAAGAAAGTTCTAACAAAATTAATCTACTAGAAAAATCGAAAATGTTTTAAGAAGCATGTGGTCACTATTTCAATAAAACATCTAAGCAGTGCAAAATATTTTATTTTCAACAAAATAAGATAGGAACTTAAGCAGCCTAAATAAGTGAAAAATTATGTGTAATAAGTAAATATAAGTGTTTATTAGAGTACAAACACATAGGCTTCTTAGAATTTTGTTCCAAACCAACATGATAATTTAAAAGCAATAAAATAATGTCCAATATATTCGCTTACCTGCTTGAATCGCATGTTTCCCTCACGATGCAATGCTATTTCTCCACGTAAAACGCGACACATGTTTGTGTGAAATCCTAAATATAAACATTATATTCTTATAATAATAAATACGTCCTCGTGCTCTCGTTGCTTGGAAAGAAAGAGGAAGTACAATAAAAGTAGCAGAAGCAGAGAGAAAAACACGCGGATTACCGCAGCCTTTTTGAAGTTTGTGACCTTGCTCATTGTACGGTCAAACGAAAGAGAAAGAAGATTTCATGAAAATGTCAAGAATGTAGGTGTACCAACAGCAAAGATCAACAAAAATCACGAACAGTAATGCGGCTGTCTAAGTAATTTTTAACCTAACATTATATTGACAAATGGTCATATAGTATTTGATTTTGACTTGGCTAAAATATATCATGCATATATATAATTCGTATGAATGAATATTTATAAACAGTTTAATTTTTTTCTCAAGTTTGATTGAATATTTTATTAAAATTCAACATAACATAAATTTGTATGACTTGTAAATTTGTCAGTACATTATTGACTTTACTGATATATTATTGATATTTCATATGGGATTTAAACGAAAACAATGAAATACATATTTGTAATGAAATCTTTATTAAATGTGAAATATATAATACACAACCTAACCTATTTAAAAGAAATATTTAACCTATCTTTGACATTTAGCCTATGCTACCTATATCGAAAAAACATAAGATAAAAAAAAACAAATAATATGATTGACAAACTGCATTCACATAAAAATCTTATAATAAAACTGGCCTAACTTCTATCGACAACACGACTCACAGAAAAAAATAAAATTCGTACCGATCGAGAAGGCCATTAAGAACGATATGACAAATTTGATATTCCCATGCGAAGCACAATTATGGTCGGCAGACTTGAATTTTACACAGCCAACTTCACAGTGTTTTTACACACCAATACATGCACAACCGTACAATGAGCTACTGTCAAAAAGACTGCGACTTGATACTCTTGAGAGAAAATAGTTGATCCATAGAGAGAAAATAGTGGATCTTTGACTATGTAATAATATGGATTGGCATAGATATTTTTGTATTTAAAAATAATTACGTCATGATAAAAAACAATAATAAAAATTAATTTTATATAAAAATACAGAGGCTATTTTAATGAGTAAAAATCTCAAATTTAATTTACATTGACGATTGATCAAATGGAACTTTAATTTTATGATAACGACAAGGAAACGGATGACAGGTTTCGGGTCAGTGATCGCTGCCCCCACAACTTTGAAAATATTTTGATTCGTTTGACATTTCATTTTAAGAGAATTTTTCTTTAATTTTAAATATTCAGATTGAAGAACTGTAGATTTAGTCAAAGGTATTATATGATTTTAATTTAATTTAATAATTTTAATTTAAGTGTTTTTAAAAATGTCTTTGCGTAAAAAGCTTTGTACTTCGTTGAATAATATTGATTTGAAAAAATTCAATGAACAACAATCACAGGATGAAACTTCAAACAACATTGATTTAAGTTCAAAATATTTCTTTGTCACCGTCGCAGAAAAATATATACAACTACAAATTGAGCTAATTCGTGAAATCAATCTAGTATCCTTTACATCGCCGGTCGATGCTGTTTATAATCCTATTGAATATGCATTTGATGTATTTAAAACATTCGTACACCGCTATTTAAATGGGCACAAAAAGATTTTATTTTTAGGATTGAATCCTGGACCTTTCGGAATGGGACAAACCGGGGTAACTATATAGCATTCATGGGTCATTCTTAAAAAATCTGCATTTTATTTACGTGAATGTTTGCTTTATTCTCCTACACTCTGCTCTTTCAACATAAATTTGTTGTTTCACTGTTTGTCAGTAATGTATAGCCTTGTCCATTTGCTTCTCTTTCACTACCCTCAATCCTGCATGTATTTGTTCACCCACACTCTTTAGAATGCATATGTTGTCTCATAGGCACTAAATAACTAATTTAAATCCCACCTTTAAATTTATGACAGGTTCCTTTTGGATCCATAACAGAAGTGAGAGACTGGCTACAAATTACTGGCAAAGTAAATAAGCCCATAAATGAAATTCCTGCTAGACCTGTTCTTGGTTTTGATTGCCAGAGAACTGAAATTAGTGGAAAACGTTTTTGGGGAGTTGTACGGGAAATTTGTAAAATTCCTGAAAACTTTTTTAAACATTCTTTTGTACATAATTTATGCCCACTATTGTTTTTGAATAATCAAGGAAGAAATATTACTCCATCCGAACTTAAGGTGTATTAAATAATATAAATTATAGTAATATTATCAATTATTTTCTATCTATTGAAATATTATAAAACTAAACACTTGTCTTAGGTAAAATTTCTCTAACAAAAGTAATCTCTAATTAACTAGTGAATAATATGTAATACACATATAATGGATAAAAACAAACAGTATTTAAAGTATTTCTTTTTCAGGGTGATATCAAACAAAATCTGATGAAACTATGTGAACAATCTCTGTTAAAAGTTATTCAATGCATTGGTGTTGACACAATAGTTTGTATTGGCAGAATTGCACAAACACAAACACTGAAGGCACTAAAATCAACTGGAATTAACTGTAAGGTATGAGACTTATAAATTTTGCTTAATTTGTGAATCATCTAAGAACCAAACAAGCTCTAGAAATATTATGTTATAACGCCCATGACTTCATCATTTTAATTTCTTCTCTCATTTAAATAATAGTAATCTCATTTAAATAATAAAATAGATCTCTATAATTTTATCCCATAATTTTCAAAACCAAGTTTATTGTGAGCATGAAAAATATTCTAACTGATTTGAAGATGTAAGATTAATTGACTTTAAATTAATCAAACTCTTTTCCACGATGTTAATAAAATATAGGTGGAGTTTCTACCACATCCCAGCCCAAGAACTGTAGGAAATACAAACTGGAATCCAGTTGCTATAAAACAATTACAAGATCTGAATTTAATGCAGTATCTATTACCACAAGTTAATGAATGAAATATCCAATAATATACATTTATAAAAAATATGGAATATGAAAAATATATGTTGAGTGCTATATCTCAAGCTGAAGAAGCTTTAATGGCACAAGAAGTTCCTGTTGGATGCATATTTATATTTCAAAATAAAATCATATCACAGTCGAGAAATACTGTGAATTTGACTAAAAATGCAACGAGACATGCTGAACTGAACTGTATAGATCAAGTAATGGAATATTGTAGAAATAATAATTTAGATCATTTTGCAATTTTTAAAGAAATTGAAGTCGTTGTTACTGTAGAACCATGTATAATGTGTGCTGATATTTTGTATAATTTGAAAGTGAAAAAAATAATTTTTGGATGTGCTAATGACAGATTTGGGGGTAATACTGTTGTTAAGGTATCAGATTTATATCCTGATCTAAAAACTACTGTAGTCGGTGGCATATTTTCTGATAGAGCAATGAGTTTGTTAAAAGAATTTTATAAAGGCACTAATCCAAATGCTCCTTGTCCTAAAGTTAAAGTAATAATAAAATAGGAAGGGAATATTGTATTTGTAATCTATTTGCTATTTATTACTGTATGTGAATAATAAAAATTATTATTAACACAAAGTATATTTCAAATTTATACATCAATAAAAATTTGAGAAAATAACATGGTACTTCATAATGTTAGGAAGTTAATTACCACCTAAAGCTTTTCTGTGGGGTACAACACTAAAACATTAAGTACATATAGTGTTATTTCTAATATAATAGCGAAAATACTGATTTGTATTATCTTTAACTTCTGATAAATTTACCTTACATTTTAATAGAGTTATTCTGTGGTCTCTGTTTCTTAATTGGAGGCTCCCCACCATTCATATGTCCATTAGCTGTTAATAAATTCAGATCTAGTCTATGCTCAAGTTGCATGTGATGGCAAGGGCCTAATCCCAAACAAGCTCTCATTACATTTTCAATGGCTGCTCTTTGCCTAAACAAAGCATTGACAACAGGAGCTCCCTCAGGAACGAGAGGGGCTTTACACAAATAGCTCAGCAAAGATAGTACTGATCGAAAACCAATAAATTCTTCAGAGCCCTCTTTACGAACCTATGTCGGAGCAAATTTATTATGAGATGCATCAAATTCCAACTGTAATTTGGAGTTGTATAATTTTCTATGTTTTAGTTAGTCATTTATATTTAATACCTTTATACGTTGGCATAACTCTGCCAATAAAACCAGATCTAAAATAATAGGAGCTGCTAAAAGAGAATCTTCACAGGTGTTATGAACAATAATTGTATTGTGGCCTCCAAGCATTAACTGTGATGTATATTCATCCATTGCCCTTTTACTGTCACCTAAACAAATAAAATAAAATTGCAACATTCTAAATTTTGATAAATTCAGACTCACATACACACACACACAACCACATACGCTTTCCAATTTGTTGTCATTCGATCCTACTAAAACATGAGATTCAGAATGACTTGAAAAACAAAATTTAACAAACTGAATTTGTTCGCATAAATATAATATTTTCCTTAGGAAAGTTCAATATGTGACAAATGTTCACAACGTTCATATATTTATTTATACTTACCAACATACGGCACATATTTGATGACTACGGTATGATCCGGGTGCTCCTTGGGACCATAAAGAATTGAATTAGAATTGACCATATCATCGACAACATTACTTTTCGAAATCTAAAATTATTAAACAAATTATTACTTCTATTATCCTCAACCTTCATTATTTACAAATAAAATTATTTTCATACTTCTTTGGATCGAAATTGTTTTGGTTCTGAGAGATTTTTTCCATCATTATTGCCAAGATGATTGTAACTCACAATTGAAACAGGTTTTATGCCGGCACTAACCAAGAAATCGACCAACACTAAAAAAATATTAAAAACACCATTAAAATTAAAGAGTAAATTAAGCATATTTGAATAGTAGATCAGCATATACATACCTGATTTTAATTTTGTTTGTCCAGATTTAAAATCATCTCCAGCAATAAAAACATTTTCTAGTTCTGCTAATTCCAGAACTCCCGGTACAAATGTGTTTTGTGGAGATCCATTTATGTAAGTACACTAATAAATAAGGAAAATTAGCTTTTATTATAATAACATAAAAAAATATTTATATTGAACAGTAAAATTACATTTCAAAATACATAAATCAACAATTATTACCTTCTCCATTATGCTAGCCATTGCAAATATGGTAGAGGGTGATATTTCGGACTTATCAGCTTTTAGAGAAGCCCATAACTCAGAACTAGTTGAATTCAAACCAGCTTGAACATCACAAAATCGTTCTGTATTTGCTGTCCACAACACAATCACTTGATCAACACCAGATGATCTCTTGAAATCCCTAAAGCATAAATTATAACTTGTAATATAACTTTCTTATGATGTCAAATTAATTTTCATTTACCTTATATCAGCTCGTATTTGCTCATACTGTTCATATTTCGTTCCTTTAATGACATTATTTGCTCGATCAGCCTAAAATGAAATATTAATGTAAATTCTAGTAAAGAGCTCAGACATATTATTGGTTCAGGTGTATTTACTTGATTTTCTGCTATAAATGATGGATCATAGATTGAAGGACGGGGCGTCATACATGAAAGTTGTTTGATTACTTGATCCTGAATTGCAACATCAAGCACTTGTGCACGTACCATGGCCATGCCAATATCAGCATCATTGATATCCCAACCATCCAAGACTATGGTCAAAAAACAATTTTATAATGCATAATGTATTCTTAATTTAGAGCATATACATATATTTTGCAACTTGCCAATTCGAGCAAAGTCATAGACTCATTTACATTACATTACTATATATTAATAATGCTTTAATTAACTTAGGTAATTTAGGTATAAATGGCAATTAACAAAGCTACATTATACTATTCGATCAAACACATGTATATCTCAATATTTACCTATATCATTAGGATTAATCATCGGCAAAAGATCTTTCATGGGTACATGCACATCTTGACCATGTTCATCTTGTCCCAGCAAAACGGTAGATGCTTGTGTCAAAGAACCATACCAATTGGCTGTTTGAACTCCAGTTTTTGTGCGCCATTGTAATTGACGTCTGATATTAAATAACTTTATGCATATTTAACAACAAATATATTTATATATATATATGCATATATATACATATATATATATATATATATATATATATATATATAGGTGTGTGTGTGCATGTGTGTTTGTATAGTAACATTCATAAAACAAAAGTATCTGTAAAATAAACCTGTTTGCTTCGAGAGCTGCTGTGATCGTGCTTCCATTGTTACCACCCCAACCTACAAGCATTAATCCAAGTCGTGGGACATGTCTGTCTGTGCGGAAATTAAGGGTACAGCTTTTGGGACATACCTTCAATTACATTAATCAATGTAAAACTATTTAGTAAATACAGTCATTCCAAAGGCAAACTGTGATAATTGAGATGTACTATGTGTTTTGCTGGTTTTAAATTTTGATTGTTCATACATTAATTATTTTGGGATATTAGGTATCGCAAACTATATACTGTATATAAGAAATTACAAATTGTTTTCTACTTTTTCAGAACTTTGCAAATTTGAGAATTAGCATTAAACATCTATAACAATTTGCCTGTGGAGTAGAGAATGTATATATACACAACAAAGTTTATGAAACATGAGTGATAATAGATATATAAAATATATATAATTATATACTGATGATACAGAATACCTGCAAATATGAGTTGCAGGTTCTCATCCAAAAATTGTATTCATAAATAATTCCGACAGCTTTCTCATTTCAGTGTAATAATATAATAGGTGACAAGATTTTTAAAATTTTCATACAATAACTGCAAATGATTAAAGCATTTAAATGTTATCATATAAAAAATATTTTAATTTCATAAAAAATATGTAATTAAATAATTTTCAGATAAAACATGCATTATATGTATTTATTTTCTGTATTTTCATTTATATTTAAGTTGTGAATAAAAAAATTGTTTACTCTTGTGTGTTTCGTTAGTTTTGCGGCAGTGTCAATTAAACACATTCATTGCAAAATATTTACCAATTAGGAAAAGTAATAGTATATGAGATGATTTGCTAACTATCTACTATTTATTTTCATATTTAATTATGCAATAACAAAGCAAATAACATATAATCAAAAATATACTTACGGTAAATTTATTCACACTTTTCTTAACAATCGATGTTTGATATTCATATTTAGCATCGATGTAATCATCTGTGTACGTCACGTTATTACTTTCAACAAAAATCGTATTCGAAGCCGACATTTTTTAATGCATATAAACAAATATTGAAGCAAAAAATCAATAAATCGATACTTGGAAATTAAAGCGAAATGTTCAGTTGATGCAATTCGCCGGTACAACTGCAACACACCCTATCTCATATGCAGTTAACAACTGAATAAACGAACGCTCGCGATCTCGCACGAATCTAGAATGATTTTTGGATGCGTTCGTTTATCCGTTACCTTGAAGTTGGTCGCAGAACCAACCGGCTGAGTTAAATATTCATGACGCTATCGAACAAACCCTCATCGCGCACTAATGATTTTTAGACGTTCATTCCAGCATGGTAATTGATATTTATTTTTCACTATAATATAGAAAGATTCATATGATTATATTTCTATGCGATATTAAGTTTGCCTATACCATTTGCCTTATATCAATAGTTTTTTCTGACTAATCTGATTTGAATGGTTACTTCCTGATGAATCGGAAATCAATGATTGAATGATAAAATGACGAAAGGCTATACCCATATTATGAAATATAAAAACATGTTTTAATTGATAAAACCAGAAAAAATTAAATAGGAAGTAATATCACTATAAAATTTCAATAAACAATCAACAAATTAACTACTATAAAGTCAGGCAAAATTAAAGTAAACTAGTGGAGTGCATGGCATCGTGCATTAAGACAAATTGCTAGAACTTTCCGTACCGTAATTAAAAATCTAGGTACAAAACCCAAAAAATTGACACAAAATGTGTACACATTATTAAAATCTCTGTAAAATATTTGATAATTTGATGTACATGCCCAATAAACATTTTTGACCGCCAAATGGCATTTTTTTATCTTATTTTTATTGAGAGTCCATAACCACTGGACCTGCCTTTCCAAAAATTTAATCAGTTTTTCATCTTTTCAATACAAGTAAAATGTTTTTTGAATTACTAAAATTGGACGCTCCGTTCTCTTAAAAACTGAGTTACCGTTTGAGGTACTTTTTACACCGTATTTTCAAAACGGCTAGACCTGCTTATGCTAAAAACTAATCAGCTCGTCTCCTTATCAACAGCAATCGAATGTTTTTTGAATTATTGATATCGGTTGAACCGTGTTCCCGAAATCGTCGACAAAAATTTGTATCCGCACACACATACACACATACATCCATTTTTTGTGAAGTATGTTCAGAAACCTCTGAAACGTAAAGATATATAAAAAAATTTATTTTTGATTTTTTTTGCGATTACTATAACTTACCCTACGGGAAGTTAATAAAATACACGATATGTCGGTTATTTGTTTGTGATGAAAAAGAAAAAAAGTCTAACTATAAATCTATAAAGTATAACAAAATGCAATGCCTAAATGATTAACTACTTAGTCATTTAGCAATTAATTAATTATTTTAAATAAGAATAAATTGATAACTTATTTTTCGATTTTCATCAAAGGTATACTTAAGGAATGTATAAAAATCGGGTAACAAATTTTAACGTTTTTAATCCCATTAATACGGTTTTTTATTAATATTTACTAAATGTCAATTACATGCGAGTATCCTAACAATTATCTACATTGTAGTTCTCAAAATGAATTCATGAATCTAATAATCTTGGTCAAGCCATACAGAATAATCTAGAGTAATACCAAGTAGAATAGCACGGAGTAATAGATCTGTCTTTTTCATATCAATAAATACATATTAAAAATGCTAATTTCTTAATACAAATGCCGGTTTCATGAATATTTAAATTTAATGATAATCAATTTCACGAATAAATATTTAACTTTACATAAATAATTGGCAGTCACACTGATAAAGCATATTCTCAGGTATTTCCTGATAACGTGTAGATTCCACAGGCAAATTTTATCAGAACACATTTTACCATAATTGTGATACATTTTATAGTAATTAAAAAAACCCTTCGAAATGAATTTTTTGTATTCGATTTTATAAGAATTCTCTAAATTTTCAAAGATTAGTGAATATTCAGGAAAAGGAAATAAAATTCTGCAACAACCCACGTGTAGGGCTATGAAATATACTATCTTAATATTATTGTTTATCTATATATTTTTTAATATTATTTATAATTTTTTTTTTTCAATTAAAAATCACCTTCAAAAACAATATTTATTTTATAATTTCTACGTTTCGAGAAATGCGATATTTTCCACTTCAAAAACTTTGAACCTTTGAAATATTAATATTGAAAAGCTAATATTTTATAAATTTTTATAACTCATAACAATTATAAAATTAATTAAAAATACAGTTTAAATTGTAAAAATATTTCGAGTTTCATAATTTCATAACTAAATTAATAATAATTCTTAGTGAATATGTGTAAAATAATTATAATTATAAATAAATTAAATAAGTTGGCGTTTAGATGAAGATAAGATGGAGTTAAAAAATAGAATTGTAAAAATAATGAAATAGTCAAATTTGGAAAAATTATTTTGTACAACTTTCTGAAAATTGTATATTGGAGTATCAAGTTAAGCAAATCATTAAATTTATTACATTTTTAACATAATTATTTATATATGTAAAACTTACGCTTTAGATAATATTTGCGGAGTTGATTAGATGTAATTCTAATTTGAATATTTCGTATATCAGGGCTACTTTTTCGATAGTATTATTACAAACCAAATATTTGGTTTCAATAAACAATATCTTACCACCTGACTATTCCCATTAATAGTTGGATTCTAAATTAAGAATTTTGAATGTGGTATTTGTTCTATTGAACCATCGTACGAAACTCCATTGCCATCGCTATTGGTGGACAAAATCACCTCATATGTGAATCACCATACTAGACTTCAATATTATCCAAAAACCGAATTTTGTTATCAATGACGTTATAGATTATATAATGTTTAGTAAGGAATGTCAATTACCGTCAGATACTGAACTTTTTGTATGATAAAATCAATTATTGCTGTTTGGATAATGATATATTCTATTACTAAAAGAAGACTAAAAGAAACAAATCTGATTTCTGAACTATCGACAAATAATTTTTTTTATTAAATTAAAGAATAAAACATCGAGTTTTTATCAAACTAAAGTGGTGCATGGCATCGTGCCTTAAGGCAAATTGCTGGAACTTCCCGTACCGTAATTAAAAATCTTGGTACGGAACCCAAAAAAATTACACAAAATGTGTACGCATTATTAAAATTTCTATAAAATATCCGATAATTTGATGTACATATGTCCAATAAACATTTTTGACCGCCAAATGACATTTTCTTTAACTTATTTTTATTGAGAGTCCATAATCGCTGGACCTGTTTTCCCAAAAATTTTACCAGTTGTTCATTTCGTCAATACAAGTAAAATGTTTTATGAATTATTAAAATCGGACGCTCCGTTCTCTTAAAAACAGAGTTACCGATTTTAGCACTTTTTGCTTCTACAAATTTTAATATTGTGAACTTTGCGAAGGAATCAGAATTTGCAGAAATGCAAAATGCTTCATCCAAATTTTGCAAAAAAAATGAACCAGTTTTGAAAATTTAAAAACCGTTCGAAAGTTATCATTTGGGAATCGTGCTGATTAGTTTTAGGCAAATGAACTTTAATATAACGAAAGAGTCCATGGTCAGACATTTTAAAATATTATAGTCATACAAAAAGTAATTAAATTATAAAAAAAATCGTTAAAATTTTAAATAAGGGACTGCGCTTTCACGACATACAAGCGCCTGTGTATCGACTATGATTAATACAATCACATGTATTATAAATCGGTTTTAATGATATCACATGAAATCGCAATGATTATAGTTTATAGTAATAGCAAAAACTATAACTTCGTAATAAGTTTAAAATTTTATCTGAAAGATAAATCTCATTTCATATTGATTAAGTCAAAGGGTTATTCAACTTGTCTTAAGGTAAAATGCATTTTACACCTCTTTTAAACCTTAATTGTCTAATAAATTATATTTCCAAATGCTGCCTAGAATTTTCGCCATTTATCCGGTGGAAAGTTACCCAAGTTTTTTTCCACGAATAACTCTCTGATAATATACTTGGTGTTATGAAAACAAACTGTTATTAAAACAATGGTATGCTTTTGAAAAATGACACTCATACACAAAGAATATATGCATTGCAGAATAGACTCCTAGAATTCTAAGCATTCAATAACACAAGATAATGTAAATATTATTTTACAAAATCAAGCGGCAAGAATGTTTGTGCTCTTGATTGTTGATAACATTGCTGCATTGAAATAATAAATTTCTAATTGTAAGTTTCATAAAATATGTTTAGGAAATGAATTTATAAAACGTTAATAATCAGAGATAAAGGTTTAATCTCACAAAGTGTATATAACTGAAAGTTATATTTATGATATATTTCTGTAGTTTTAGGATACTGTAATATTAAATTAATAAATTAATAAGAATAATTTAAGAAGAAAGTATATAATATAGAGTAAATAAGAGATTACAAAATACATTCAAATATAAATGGCTAAATTTCAACAAAAATGTTTGCATCATTATAAACTATAGTTCATATGTTAACAAATCAATAACACCGAAATTTCGAAATTCAATATGTGGGTCCAACACCTTTTTGCACATTTGCCCACTTAAAAATAAGCTCATTTTTCTTAAAATCCTATTTCATAAATACTCAACCGATATAATTTATTAAACAGGCTACAAAATAATATATAAATATACATAATTTTTTTTTTTTGAAATTCGTCTGTTTCAGTTGAATTCGAATTTTGGAACCGCCTCGCGCCTCTACATGTTGGAAGTCCTTATTCCAAGGTCTTTATTATAGTGAACTCTAAGCACAGCAATTATAATTGATACCAGTATACCAGGCGCATTTTTTTTAAAATTGAAGATGACGGTTATTACGGAAACTACTTGAAATACTTAAAATTTTACAATGAAAAACACCAATTTATTGCCAAACGACCTAATACACCGATGCTTTTACAAATACATAATAAATAACCCATTCTCTATAAATAAATAATAAATCTTTAACCTATTCTCACAAATGCAAAGAAAACATCTGATGGCTTATTTGTTAGTTCGACTGTAACTATAACTATATATATACCTATAAATGGATCTACAAAAAACTTTCCATTTTCACTTCACACGAGTCAATAGCATGTGCGAAAAGATTATTCCCAATTTATAACCTTATCTATGTATTTAACAGAAAATTGAGTATCTCACGTGTGTCCAGAAAGTAAGCACCAAAAGCATATGTATGTGTACATGATTTTATCTGTAATATCCAAAAGTTGCTAAATACCTAACACCCTATGTTTTGTGTGTACAAATATATGTAGAATATTGTTTTATGGGAGAAACAAATACAAACTATCAGAATATAAATCTACACTGTTTTTGAATGAATTTCCATAAGACAGTACAAATGTTCAGAAACTGCACTTCATCTTAATTTAAAGATTACTTTATATACATTATAAAGTAATTTTAATAATGGCTGAACTAAAACATTTTATTACTATGCTTGGCACTGTATTGAATGTATGAGCTTGTATGTGCAAATACTTTAGGCACAATCAGTGCTTATGAAATAAGTACCAAAAGCTAAAGAAAGTACAAAAATGATTTAACTACTGAAAGAAAGTTAAATACCACTAGCACACACAGTGTTATGTATTTAGCTGCTTTTGGGTATTGTAGCTAATATCATAAAAGTATATGGTTAATATTACAATTAAGCACATATTTTAATTTTCTGCGTAAAATTAAAATATTGAATGCAATTGTACTGAAATTACCACAGGAAAACTTAAATGATTGAAAAAAATGAAATACCTTTTAATTTTTATTAATTATTTATTAAGATCAATATAAATTACTGTTCCTTTGTTTCTCTCAACCTCCTAACAGCAGATCGGACAGAGGCAGCAGCAGTTGTGGTATATACCCAGGCACCACCAGCTACTGTTCTTTTACATCTTTTGCAAGACCAAATTCCAACACAACTACGTTTCATGGCATCCTGAAATTAAAATTATACGTGAAAGTTATTTACATATTGTACACTGAAAATAAAAGATTCCAAAAGACCAGAGTTAAAGACTAAGGACAAGAATTACCAATGCAGTTTGCAAAATGTAAGAAATTTGATTAAATGTGACTAATATACAAGTAATCATTAAGGCTCCACTAAGGAAATAGGGATACATAATGACAATTCATAGTAAAAAAAATCAATTTTGAGATTTATTAAAAGAACTTAAAATACAAGTTATGCTGATATATGCAAAATTAAACTGAGGATTCAAAAAACCTGTGCAAGGTTTAGTTCTTATAAACAAGTAAATGAAAATGGGAGTAATTAGGAGGCACTGATTACAATGTCAAATTTTAAGGTTAGGTTCAAAGAAATATTGAATTTGGTACCTTTCCACAAAATGTGCAAGTGTATTTGGCGTGCTGGGTTATTTCCATCTTTTTGACCATTTTACGTAAGGAAGCTCCATAACGAGTTCCATATTTACCAGTAATTCCAACCTTCTTGGTACGTTTGGCCTGCAATCAAAAAAATTATATAGCACAGCACAATCTTTCAATAAAGCTATTTTCATAATAATCATTATCTCACAAAACTTTTCACAATAAAATAACAAAATACTATTTTAAGATTAAATATTTATTTAAAGATTACTGCATACCATTTTGATAGATGTTTTCGATCACAAAACAAACCGGAAAGAAGAGAGATGCCAGAAAATAAAATCGTAAAAGAGTTCAGTACAATGTAGACAACACGACAAAATAATGCTAAGCAAGCGACCAACATTAGCGCGAAAACTGTAAATGTCAAGTATCAAAGCATGGTTTTGATAGGTTAAACGGGTTAAAACATTCATAGCTAACCTAACAAAAAAATTTATAAACAGAACAGATAATATACATTTTAAAAATTTATTTATGAAGTATTACGTGCAAATTATATTTATAAATAGTTAATAATATTACGAATAGTAAGTTTTTGTAATTTTGATTTTATAAGTGGTGAGTGAATATTTGTGTAGAAGCAATTATCAGAACTATACATATGACAAAATATATTTGTTTATATTATTATTTGACAAATTGAAGTTACATTTTGAGATAGTGATCTGTATAAAACAATTGAGACTGGTGATTTTTTACTGGAAAAGTACTTACCAAAAATATCATGAGTTTTCTCAAATTAGTTGATTATGATAATTCATCTGATGAATCAGATGAAGATGATTCAACTAATGAAGTTTTGACAAGAAATGATATCAACATTGCACCAAATGTGCAGAATCCACAACCAATATCTGAAATATCGACTGAATCAGAATCTGAAGAATCTGTTATAAGCGTAAAAATTGAATCAGATGAAAAACCACTGGCTTATAGGGAACGAGCTGTATCTGAAAGTGATTCTTCCTCCAGTGATGACTCAGATGATCCAGAAATTTATTGCCAAATAGTTGAAAAACATGAATCTTTAGAAATACCTAAAGCAAAAGGAGAATTATCTGTCAGTGATCTTCCGCCAATAGAAGATTTATTTATTTCAGTAAAACAAGAAGAATCAGCAGTTTTAGGCACAATTCAATCTATAGTTGAACAACTGGTTGTCGTACAATCTTTGCCTGGTATTTCTGCAGTTGACATTGATAGTGTCTTATTTTTAGATGAAGGCAAAAGAGCTCTTGGTAAAGTTTTTGACATTATAGGACCAGTATCAGCGCCTCTATATTGCGTTCGTTTTAATTCTAAAGAACATATTGAACAAAAAGATGTTTGCATAGGAGCTACTGTTTATTATGCACCTAAGACAGAACACACATCATTTATTTTCTTACCAGATTTGATAAAACATAAAGGATCAGATGCCAGTTGGATAGATGATATAGAACCTCCAGAAAAACATTTAGATTACTCTGATGATGAGCAGGAGCGTGCAGCACGAAATGCTAAAAAGAGAACACATGAAGAAAGTGCAAATAGTTCAAATCATACTCAAGATAAAGATCAGCAGAGAAAGACTCCAACAAATAAAAATAAAAATAAAAGTAAAGGATCATATCAAAGGAATCACAGTTTTCCAATGCATCCTTCTCATGCTCAATCTAATCGCCAGCAGTTTAATAATCAAGCTTTTAATACAAGGCCAAATATAGTGCCTAATATAATATATCCGCCATTTCCAAATATAGGTCAACCGTCCTCGGTTCCCTACCAACCAGTTTTTAATAATTATTTACAAGGTCCTTCCAATAATCATATGATGCCACAAAATATGTGGTATGGGAGTAACATAATACAAAATCCAACAATGCATGGTCATTTTGTTCCATATCCAGTGCCAAGGCATCCTCCTCCACCACCTCCTGGCACATAAGGAAAATAAATTATGGTAACATTTACATAATTTTAATTTTTTAAACAAAGTTTTATTTTATATATATATATATCTTTATACAATAGTCTTATTATTGCAGCAAGGTTATCGTCTTGCATTGTCATTCAATTCAATTCAATTATCATGAAACAATGTGATATGTTTTTTATAGTGATGCAAATATTTTGCAATCAAACAAATAATTACAAATAACTCACTAAAAAAAATTTATCAGTTAAATTTTAAAATGTTAAACATTATAATTAACTAGCTATATAAAAATGCAAGAATAAAAAACTCCTAATTTATGATATGAACATAGGACTCTGATATATTGTAAATAATGTACTAGCTGATAAATATTTATCAGCAAAAATGTAATTTTAAATTAAATATATAAACTGTCTTATAATGGAATGTCTTTTAAAAGTCTTGCATTAAATATTCGCTGATATCAATAAAAATATAGCTTGAACTTGGTTCATAACTTGAACATTCAGCGAATTATGATATGAAAATTCTTAGAAATAATGATCAGATTAAACTCGTCTCTTCTTGTGTACATTTTCTGAGACTGATATTGATTTTGTTCAATGGTATCACTACTCGAATTCATTTGTCAACTATTAAGTCCATTGCTTTTAGCTAAAATCACAAATAACTATCAAACTGAAGTCATTCTACCGATTTGCTTGCCACTTAAATTTTGTCATCATCACCCATTTTTGACCTTTGGAATTATCACAAGGTCTGAGTAACGGCTGTGAAGAATCCTGAGGCGACGGTCTCTGAAGGCAGTTTCCAGTATTTGTGTGCTTTATTGTCTTAGCCTAGAAAATAAAAATGTATAACTTAAATTTTGCTATGTAGGGGTTTCAATGTTTTCGATTTTAAAATAATTATTAGTAAACCTAATTTTTTTCAAAATTTTGTGATGTAACTAAAGAATTACCTCTTCATCATATTCCCAAGCTTGATTTCCACCCATGCCATGACATCTCACTAACTTAACTGGTCCATTAGGATGAGCCGCATCTAAGCAATTATCATCAGACATGATCTGCTGTCGCTTTGTATATGCGAAAACTTGATTTCCCCCTAAGCCATGGCAATATGAAATACCTAAGTTTTCACCAGATTTTCTGCTCATTGTATCTAAGCAGTTTTTAGTTTCTACATTCCGTATCTAAAATAAACATAATAAATGAATTTTAAGTTATATTTATAAATTATTATTAAGATTCATTACTTACATCACCAAGATAATGATAATCAAGAGGCATTTGGCTTTCTGGATATATATTCTCAAGATACCATCTAAAGCTTTTACACTGAAGACGTTCTCTTAAAGCTTTACGTTCTGAAACATCGCCAACGTCAACACCTCGTGCACCTATAATAAAAATTTCTTTAAGTACTTTTATAATAAAAAATATAAATTATTCACATGAGCATTATTTTCATACAAAACAAATTTGAAGAATATTGAAGTCAAAACAAAGAAGTCAATAGACACAATTCTTCACTTCATTTTCTGGTGCTTATATTAACTTTTCAAATGTGCTTTGAAGAAAATTAAGATATTATGACAATTTATTGATAATATTTGAAATCAATTAATAATTTAGTGTATATATATGTTAAATTATTAAACATGCTCTAACTACTCTGCCACTACTGCTTGTGATATCATGTTTTTGAATCACACATTTTCTACTGATGTGTTCAGAATTAAGGATACCGTAGTAATCAACACCCAAAAATATGTGCAACTTTTTTTTTTGTACTTGCTAGTAGTATTTGCAATATATAGATAATAATACAAAAAAAGTGCAAGTGTTTAAACGTTTAAACAAGATTTTATCTGTTAGAATTTGCTTTAAACTGTAAAACAAGATTCAGAAATAATAAGAACTTCAAATACAGGTAAGTTTACACATAGTGAAGATTTTAAACTTTAATTAATATATTTAGTAACCTAATAATTATTATGCAAAATTATTACTGTGTAATGATTAATTATATTTAAAATTTAGAAATTATTTTAAAAAATCCTAAAATTACTTCAAAGTTACTATAATCACAACTAATAAAGTTTTAATATTGCTTCCATAATTAAATGATTGCAAAATGATTTAGTGGCTGGTATAGAGAATACTTAGGAACATCAAATTCATTTGCAATGAAAACATTTCTAGTATGAGTAAACGCTTATTTTTTCATTATGTAATTTTAATGCAGTTGAGAGTGCAGTAAAGCCTAAATCGAAACAGAAGAAAACCCAGTCTAATCTTTAAAAATATTATTTTGAACCTGGATTGATATTGTAGTAGAATTCCTTCCATTCATCGAGCCAGACTTCAGCGAGCCTCGCATTGTTATGATTGACAATGCGAGACGTTCCGCCTGGGAACGTGTATGGTGTCGATTTCCTGAACACATGGCCGACACGAGAACAAGGCGAAATTTCCAAATTACCACCGCACATCCATATCTAATATGGCAGTAGATGACACGCGCACATACCCAATTATCCATTAGATCCATGTTAGAGAATGTTAATTTGAATAGATTAAATTGTACTGTTAATGAACTTCTATGGTTAGCATACATATTCAGCATTGTGAACCATAATGATCATCAATTCATATGTTAATATCATGTTAATCATAAATAGCAAATGACACATATATAGAGCAAATGATATATGGTTAGGTCTAACTTTCAACAAAGCCATTCCACTATGATATTGTATTAAGTCTAAATTATCATAAGCCGAATAGAGACAATCCGTACAACTTTGTTTCAAGTCAGACCTACATAGTAAACTATGAAATGAAGGTAAAACATAAAAGAAATGATTAAATATATAATTTAAAACATTGCTTAAAATTTGATTGTTGAATCTTTCAAGTAATTTACACTACAAAGCCACATTAAAAACCTCCAAATATCACTAATATACTTGATGTCATACTTTTTGTTATTTTTTCTGGCATAATAATGAGATATAATTTCTGTCTGAAAAGAAAATTATTTGTTAGCAAATGCAATAATTTCTGTTAGTTCAATATCTGAAAACTAAATATTAAATGACAATTTAAGCATAAGGGTAACCATGCTAATTTAAATGAATGAATTGGAGAGATTTTATTATATCATGAGCCATTCTGCAACACATGATCATAACAATATAAAAAAATTACTTTTTAAATCAATGAAAATTACTGATGAATTACACTTTAGATTAAAATTTTTCTATTTTATAAAATTACTGGTAAATCGAAAATAAACTTTATAGCAAAAATATTCATTGGTGATTAAATGATCAAGATCACCAAAGTTAGAATTAATAGAATTTCATACTGAGGGCAGAATTTAAAAGCTAATATGATATAGTAATAGTCACGTGGTATATGTTAAGGCATAAAGTTTGCAGTACCTCTTTAAACAATAAGATTAATACATGATTAATAGTTAGTTCACAGTCCCAAATTAGATAAAACCAACAACATGAATATCGATGTCGGCAAACCTGGACTCATGGCGTAATAGAAATCTCTCCATTCATCCATCCAGACTTCGGCAACCCTAGCAGCGTTGTGCAGAACTATCTTAGAAACACCTCCTGGGAACGTATACGGAGATTTATCTCGGAAGACATGACCGACGTGGGAACAAGGAATTATCTCCAATATGCCGCCACACTGCCAAACCTACACTTAGCGAAATATTGCATGAGGAACAACTTAGATTATTAATGAAATCACCCTTCGATACCACCAGATGTAAATAAGCTTAAAACTATTAAATTTAGAAAGTTGATAGTGGTATCAACGAAACTTCTCAGAAATTTTTTCGTTTAAAATTGAACATGTTGAAATATTCACACCAATAAGTGTCAAGATAATTTTAGATAGATATGACTTTTGGATATTTCTCTTAAGAATAAATAAACAAAACAATTCATTTGGTACTAATCCTCCTGTAAAAATAAGTAATATGTGAACAACCAAAACATTATTTCATCCATGTGAAGAGAATGTTTGAATAAGATGATTCACCTCATCGTTGATTAGCGACAAAAGATTGCTCAATAAAATACTAACCCGAAAACTCATTTCTAAGTTTTCTCCGCCCCAAATATCCATTCCTTCATCATATGATCCCAGCTCGTAAAAGTAGTCCTTATCGATGGAAAATAGGCCACCAGCCATAGTTGGAGTTCGCAAAGGTGATGTTCGTTCGTTATTACGCCTGAGCATTTCTCGCTGTGGCACTCTGTACCTATAATTAGATTAATTTTTTTATTAAAAAGATATAATCTTCCATGTATGCTTTAATGATGAATACATGTAATCCATCTAAAATTTATTCATAAAATCACACACTTAGTTACAAAAAATTGTTTTACCATCTGAAATTTAACTTCCAATTGAATCCACCCCAAGTCATATCTGAAGCCGTGATATATTCAAATGTATCATCTGATATTACATCTATAATTGGACAAACAACTGTTTTCCGATCTGCAGCTATTCGTGCTAAAAGTGGTTCCAACCACCCCTCTGAAATAACAAAACAATATTAATAATTGTTCTGAGAGAATAGCCATAAATTCTTATAATTAGTACCTGTGCATTCACAATGGGCATCTAAGAACGTGATGATATCGCCTCGAACATGCTTTGCTCCAAGCAGTCGCGCCCTGATCAGACCTGATCGTGTTTTGGTACGGAAAACTCTAGTTTCCACTGGGAACGTCTTAACGTAATCTTCTAATCTTTTACCTAAATGAGCTGTAAAGTAATAAGATAATTTTAGTAACTTTTCAAAGATTATGATCTGATGTATCTGCTCAAAATTGAACATTCATTGAAAAAAGAATAACTTGAAAAGATTATCTGATTCTTGAATGGGAGATTTTGGAAGTGAGGATATATTTTAGAGCAGATTGATGATTTTTTTTTGCTCACAAATTTACGATTCAAAATTTAAATAGAGACTTTACCCTTTTCACTGGCGTCATCTACTAGAATTATTTCCCTAAGAAGTGCTCTGGGCGATCGATTGATCGCGCTCCAAATCGTGCGCAATAGTGTCGTCCATGCCTCGTTATGGAAGACTATGACAATGCTGGTGGTTGGCAATCTCTTGGGATATGTTATTGATTTGCAACTGTAAGAATTTGAAATTGCAATAATAATATAATTTTATTGTTATTGGTTTAATCAACTAAATCAATACAAGTTTTTATTCGTAAGTTTAATGCCTTGTTGTTCATGAAATCAATTTTTACTATTACTATTTTCTTTAGAGAATTATTTTATTTTATTTGTCATTCTTTACGTTCGGCTTTGTAACTAATGACAAAAGCCCGATCTCATTGTGTTAATTCTATATAGTTTATTACATTTAGACATTGCATGTTAAGAACTGGATTAACGACTAATCGCCTTAATCATACCGCAAGTACATTTATAAAAACATCAAAATACTTCTTAATAAAAAGCCAACTAAATAAATATGAAGTGTATATCAAAGAATTTGTTGTATTTTAATTGCACTAAATATTACAGAATTATTCCCTTAGGTGGTACGACTTAAGCAACCTAACCCTATATACCAGTGGTGGAAAACCTTTTTACCATCAGAGGCCGCACATAAATTAGGCAGCAATAAGAAAGGCTGCATAAACTGATTGACTTAAGAAAGTGAGTTTTGTGAAATTATTATAGTTTTTTCTATAGATTTAAATAGTTATTGCATTATATAGAAATGTTTTTGAAATATAATATACATATAAAATAAAAAAAATATTACAACAAAAAAAATATATTTTATGCGTGTAGAGTCTGTGTTTCAGGCTATCATCTGATGTCATGTTACAATATGACTGTCTTTGGTAGAATTTTTCGCAAAACTATCATGACGCTGATGTACAATAGTTGTTTGAAAGGAACTCTACTATTTTGTACTATGTGGCCGAGCCGTTTCTTTGTAAATCGCAGAAAAGTGAAAAATTGTTCGTCCACGTTTTAGCCCGCAATTCTTAATCGATTTTGAAAATTCAAAAACCGTTCGAAAGACATTGGTTGGGAATCGTGCTGATTAGTTTTTGGTAGAGATCGGCCGGGTCGTTTTCTTGTAATAAAGTTTTTTAAAAAAAAATTTCGACGATTTTTATGATTATTTTTTTGGCGGTAGATACCATAGTCTTCTAGATCATACTAGACTATTACGGTCCTACGACAACTCGTTTAGCTTTAAAAATTCTTCAAAGTTTGCAAAAATTAGTATCGTTCTTTTGGCATTTGTCAAAATTAGGCCTTTGATCGACGTTTTCTCAGAAACGCCTGAACCGATTTCAGAAATTTAAAAGCCATTTGATGTACCTCAATGAGGACTATCGTTTGTCAGTTATGTGAGACGATCTGCCAAACAATTTGAAAAAAAGTGTTAAACTTTTCGTCCACATTTAAGCTCAAACTACCGAATTGATTTTAAAAAATCAAAAACTGTTCGAAAGATATTAGTTGGGAATGGTACTGATTACTACTATTATGTATTCGGTTTACTTTATATATTTGGTGTAGATAATATTACATTTTCTCTAAATTATTATGTGTTCGGTTTACTATTGCGTTTTCAATTTACTATTCTACCATTATCTTCTATTGTATCAAATATAATTAAAAAAAAATACAAACCCTTCTAATCGAACATCTGTCAAAGATCTGTTCAGAGAGATCATATCACTGGCCAGCAGGTTGAATTGATTCTCTTTGAATTTTTCCTTCATGAGCGCTTCGTGCTCTTGTGGTATAATCACCGGTTTACCTGTGAACACACGTGGAAAGTGTTGTATCAATAATATACGAGTTTTTTCTGCGCACTGCGCGATGATCTAATCATTGTAGGTAATGAAGGTGAATTGAGAGTTAATAATAAAAAAAATTAACCACGGCTGAGTATTCAATAACAGAGTCATTAAGATCAAATAAAAAGCCGAAGCCGAAATTTCGATTGATGGAAAAAAATAATTATATTTAATAACATTCATTATGGTAATGTTTAGTAAACTTTGTTGGATACAGTTGTAATGTAATTTTGGATTTTGTTTATATAATAAACATATCCAACTAAAAGATATGTTAAGAACAAGTCTTTACTTAAGGTTTGATTCAAACAACTATCATGATGTATATTGTAATACAACTTATTTTAAATAGACAAAAATAACTTGCCCACTTGCACTTGAGGAGTGACCATGACCAATTTTGTATAAGTTTTTTTCTAGTCCAGAAAAAATGTGTGATCATCTTCATGATCTCATGAGAGCATTTTGCTTATTGATTGATTGTATGCAAAAATATAAAGGTATATTAGTCATTCTACACGAAATATGTAGCTGATCAATTAAATTGCTTCATTGATCATTGGGATAGAAAGTACTAAAGTACATGAACGATTAAAATATTCATGTTCAAATTAATGATGGTCTGAAATATGTTACAAACATACAGATATTCAATACTTCTACATATTTGAATATTCACTATCGAAAGCGTTTGATTGCCTACCTATTGCAATTATGATAATTTTCTATAATTCAATAGTTGCATAGTAATCAAAATTAACGCCCATATAAAGTAAAATCCTCGGAGTAAAATAATCTATAATCATTTCAATGAGGAGAGAAAAACAAGTTATGGATTATAATCCAGTATCAAATGTTTTGGCGCAATGTGAACGACCTTAAAAACACGTATCGATATGAATATTTGTACACGAATTGAAACGTAGCACGACGAATTGTGAAATTTTTAGGTAATTGTATGTATATATATATATATATATATATATATAATAAATAATATAATAACATACAAATATATATATATATATATATATAAACTTCTACTCATGCCTAAATCTAGACACTGTTCTTTGCAATTTCCGCAAGCCAAATTTTAAAATATTACCTCATTTATTAAAGCAAAAAGTCCTTGATGTTATAAATCATTGATTAATTATTACAACATATCGCAACTGAATTTAATCTTACAAGCTTATGTCACATTATGCTTGTTATTGTTACTAATCTTTGATATATAATAACTGATGATATTTTCAATAACAATCTGTTTTCAAAGCATCGCATTAAATGCAAATGTGAATTCATAATAATTAATGAATGAAGTAAAATAAATCCGATGGATAATTATATTTATTACATCGCCTCAAATCATAATGATAATTTTTTATTATCCACGTTTGAGAAAATATGTATAACAATCGATACAGTAAGATATATGTCAGTCAAAAGATCTCTATATTTACATCAATAAATGATAATTTCAAATATTTAAATTCTTAAAACAATAATAAAAGTAAATATTAGAACAATGTTCGTCTGTACATCAGTTGGCAATTCGAAATATAAACAAAAGGTGAATGGGTGAATATATGTGATAACTCTCGATAAACTTTCTATTTAAATAATAACTTATTATTTCAATATGTAGCAGATTTTATTTTTTGCAACAAATTTTTGTAGAAAGGTTTTTGCCAAGTTTCTCTCACAAAATAAGAGACCAGTTGTAATGAATCTACAATATCATGAAATAAATACATTTTCATCCATTTTAATTTTGCAACAAACTGATTCAACATTCTTGAATATTATCTACAAAAGATTCGTACATTTTTATCGGATGATTCATAGTTCATAAAGAGATATATCTTATCCGCATATTCCTATGTAAATTTGACTATTAAAACACTCAAAAAGACCATATCAAAAAATAAATATTTGATATAATACATATTTGTTTAAAATATGTATTATTTCAGATGTTTTCAATGTACTTCATGTGTTTAAAAAAAAATCAGAATAATATTATGGATATAAAATAAACAGGATCATTATCTTCATAATTAAGTGAAAGTTAATAAAAAATTTATAATCAGATACAACTATATATGTATATATATATATATACAATATATATATATATATATACAATATATATATATATATATAAATATATTTTGGCATAAATATTTTGTATATATATATACAAAAATATATATGTCATTTTTGAATAATCTATTCGACGACTTATATGTAAATTTATTACACAAACGAATTCATTTAATTACAAATAAATCATTGTAATTATCTGTTATTATTCAATTATTAATAATATAATTATGCAGATGTAAAGATATTTTTATAAGACTTACTATTATTAGATTAATATATATATATATATATATATATATATATATATATATATATTTCATGGTAATGTTGATGTAAACCTTTTTCGAATTGTTCGTAGTGAGCATTAATAAAGGCAATACAATTCAGACCAATACTACAAATTCTATATTTTACTAAGTGCTGTATAAATTGCCGCAAAATTTTAAATTTCAAAAAAACTGAAATGGGTTAATAATAGAAATCTTAGTATAGTTTTGTTATGTATTATGTATCTATTTGGTATTATTGACCCTAAACTCCTTCCCGATTGTTTTCACATCATGCGCACATCAATAATCCAACCTAAACTATAGGCTTGAGCTTTCTCTTTAAAGATGGATGAGAAGACTGAACCTAGTAAGATCATGACATTCAAAATTCCAAACAAAGATTATAAAATCATTTATCTAAGATGTACGTCTTTTAATTGCAATTGATTTCTCTTTAGACCATGCATTTAATTTAGTCATTATCTATTAAAAAGGAAACATTTCCGCATCCCGTACTTTCTAATTTTTTTTGCATCATCTAAATTGAAGTCACCATTGGGAAAATTAAATTAGCGCACGATTACAGTTCCAATAATTCATTTGCATCAATCAAATTTTATTGTTTTGCCAGAACTTAATGAATTACTTCCGAAAAAAATGCAATTTGAATATGAATAATATTTTCATTAAGCCTGGGTTATTAAAACTTTAATACTTTCAATTAGTACTTAGCAAATCATAAAAAATAAATTACATTCATGCAAATTTAATTATTGAAAAACTATCGAAAGATCGTGTTGCTTATAATAGAAAATTCAAACACTATTTTCAACTAATTAGTATTAATTATACAAAAACAAATATAAACTTTTAGTTGAATACTGAATGAAAAAGAATACTGATGAATAATTAAAATAATAGACATTAAAATAATACTTTAGAATCCGTAAGTCAAATATTGTTTCCACCATCCAAAGAACGAAGAATGTAATAAAATACTTTCTATAATATATGCGATAAATTGCAGAGGTACAGCATCATTTAGGTAGATCTCAAGAATGATTTTCAATAACATTCATGCTAATTTTCAATCTCCTTATAATGAACAAACATTACACGAATATTTATGTATTACAAATGATAAAATATCGTGATCCAAACTGTGTGCTTAGGTCTGTTCCTGGCATAAACCTCAGAGAGACCATGAATATAATAAAATTCAAACCTTTACCGATTTGATCTTTCATCTCCCGATGGTCGTGTCCGAGGTATCGTGTGATATTGTGATGTGCAAATATGATCAAATAGCATTGAGGTAACGGATGTTAGAAACATTCATATTTTCTTTAGAACAGCGATCATTTTGATTAATTTCTCTTCCTCTTAGCAATATCAAGGATGGGTTATTGATACAATCCATTTAAAAACCTTTATTCATATAACAATAAATAAATGTCCTGTATTCTTAAAAAAAAATATATAATGGATGAAAATATTTTATTGTTCATCAATAGTAATTTACCGGCTATTAAATTTTTTTATCCCAATAATTGCAATCATATCAATTTCCCAAAACGTTCACTATATTATTCATTCTACAAACCAAGTAAAGTCTGCCGTCGATTAAATTCATCTTGCGCCAAACTCTTGAAAAACCGTCAAAATTATCTTTGGTGTTAAAACCGTGTTTTCAAAAATATTCATGAAATTACAGAACAGTACATATTAATAACTCATAAAAATGACATTAGTTGAACTATATACAGATTATTTATTATGAGTAATAGTATTTGTAAATATAACAGTGTTTGTAAATATAATAGTACGTGAATGAGTAATAGTACTTACTATATTGTATTTACAAACACTGTTATATACCCTCGTACTATTATGTACACAAATACTATTACTCATTCATACTATATTATATTTACAAACATGGCTATATACTCTCGTACTATTATGTAAACGAATACTATTACTCATTCGAGTACTATTATATTTATAAACACTGTTATATATACTCTCGTACTATTATGTACACAAATGCTATTACTCATCCACGTACTATATTGTATATACTAATACTATTATATGCTCTCGTACTATTATGTACACAAATACTATTACTCATTGACGTACTATATTATATTTACAAACACTATTATATACTCGCGTACTATTATATACACAAATACTATTACTCATTGTCGTACTATATTATATTTACAAACATGGTTATATACTCTCATACTATTATATACACAAAAATGTTTGTGAATATAATATAGTAAAGAATGAGTAATAGTATTTGTGAATATAGTAGTACGAGAGTATATAACAGTGTTTGTAAATATAATAGTACGAGAATGAGTAATAGTATTTGTTCACATAATAGTACGAGAGTATATAACCATGTTTGTAAATATAATACAGATTCCTCAATGAGTAATAGTATTTGTGTACATAATAGTACGAGAGTATTTAACAGTGTTTGTAAATTTATATAGTACGTCAATGAGTAATAGTATTTGTGAATATAATAGTACGAGAGTATATAACAGTGTTTGTAAATATAATAG